CCATTCAACACTAAGAACCTACTCTTCCCGAGACCAGATCTGAAACTGCAAATCTTCGAACAAATCCACGCTCTAATGGACACAGTTGGACTAAGTAGAATAGTGAAGTAAGAGGGGGTCACGGTTAGACGGGCCCGGCATCTAAACTACATAGGGGATTTATACCAAACTGGCAGGATAGTGGAGTAAGGGGGAGTCACGATAAGACGGACTCGACATCTAAACACTATTCCACCAAAAACAGACACTAAACCTACAGAGTGGGATAGTGGAGTAAGGGGAGGTCACGATAAGACGGGCCTGGCACCTTAACACAAACCCCACAAAGATGACATCTACCAAACTAGCAGGATAGTGGAGTAAGGGGGAGTTACGGTCAGACGAACTTGGCACCTAAACACTATTCCGCAAATAAAACTGATACCAAACCCAGAGAGTGGGAAAGTGGAGTAAGGGGAGGCCACGATAAGACGGGCCCCAAACGATGACATCTACCAATCCAGAAGCAGACGAGATCATCTACCAAACGATATGTTTTATATTATATAAAGGGAAGAACTTCCCACTAAACCAAATCCATGGCCTAAGGCCAAATGGAAAGATTGCAAAATCATATTCTAAAAAACAGGAATCAGCTTCGGCTCTCCTATGTCTTGTCTGCGATATCACTTATGTGGAAGCAGAGGTTAAACACCAAGAACGAACGAACGAATTAATTTTAATCAGATTGGTTTGAACTTGCCGTAGAATGGATATAGTAACCATTGGCTATAAGTACATTCAATTAAGATTTTTAACCGTATGTGGTCTTTAAGTAATTCAGCTAGTTATTGTGGATAACAAATTTTAGGCTTTTAAAATCTTGTTCAAGCAAAAACTGATGTCAGATATTAAGACGGTCGCCTGCGCTTTTCTGACACCTTGCGCAAAGACTGTCTACATAAAATTGCAAAGAACACAATTCGTCAGCATCATACAGGGCACGAGTTGGATCCTTTCAATAATGGATTTACAGAAAAGAATAAGTATTATAAGCCACATTATCTTTTCCAGGAAGTGGGTCGAGAAGAAGAGAGTGTTTCGTGATACCTTTGCATTTCAGGTGTTGACAGCAGAATAATACAAGTCAGATAGAAGCCATGACACTACTTTAATAACTACTTGACTTATCGATTGCGTACAAAGTTACACAGGCCTACAGAAAATAATAACATAACAGGCAGCGCAGAGTATGTCGAGAGTGGCCATCCAGATGTTCGTACGGTGTTTATACAGCAGACAATTTGTCTGACATGGGGTATTTTTTACTCACAGGAGTTTAATTGTTCATTTTAACTTTGTTTCATGCGGCACCTCCAATCTTAAATCTAGCCTAAAATTTGGGACCCTTGTGTTCCGTCAAGCTCATTTCCAACACAATATCCTCGGGGCACAACATTTGGGGTGTCTAGTAGGACTTTTACAGCAGACAATGTCTCTGGCATTGTGTAGCGTCTGGGGATACATATATAAAGGAAAATTTGTCTGGCAGAGCCTGTTTTGTACTCAGGGAGATGTACCCAACAACCGGACCCCGGCAGACATACATATTTGAATAAGTTACGTTACACAGTAAACGTTTGGATGCTCAGATATAGATGAAAGTGCCCTGGGCTGCTGATCCAGTAGTCTACGTTGAGACAATTTAGACTTTGTAATTGTGACGAAATAAAAACGTCAATATTTCATCGCGATGAAGGAATGATTGAATTTCGATTTATTGTTCGAATAATAACATTTAAATTTTGTTCGCACATAATTTGCACCCACAGATTCGGTTTTAATTTACCATACCTCAAAGATAAATCGATGTTTTCGTTTTTATCTAAGTAACCTTGAATGCGACCCACAGAAATAAGATTATGAACAGTAGACATTAATAAGTAATTTATAACTATCGAACCCGATTACGATCTGTTATTATAGTGTTTTAATTTGGGCAATTATGACTCCATAATCATTCTCTGATGGTGAATCAGTAATATAGTTTTCTGATTATATAACTAACAAGCCAACAGTGAGGCTGATGTCCCCCGCCGAAATTGCAAAATAAATAGATGACACATATTAATTAATCGCACATTTATTTTTTTCACTAAGTTTCATCACTCTCTATCAGATAGAATCAAGATTATCTTGTCCCAAACCATCGACAAATGAAATCGATTAGCTCTGCTTAACTTCAGCTCGAAATGTTAATTATTGAACTCAGTCAAGACATTCACCTAATGAACATCTACATATACATCAAGTTTAAACATTCACCTAATAGACACCTATGCCAAGTTTGAACATTCTACCTCAATTAGAAGGAGAGTTATTGTGTTCCAAAGTTTCTACCAATCAAATTGCTTATCACTCTGCTTACCCTCAGCAAAAAATGTTCATTATCGAACTTAGTTAAGGTATTCATATAATAAATCTATACACCAAGTTTCATCAATCTCACTTAATTAGAACTAAAGTTATCGTGTCCCAAAGCATCAACCAATCAAATTGCTTATCTCTGCTTACCCTAAGCGGAAAATGCTCATCTTCGAACTCCATCAAGGCATTGACCTAATCAACACATACACCAGGTTTGAACATTCTAGCTCAATTAGGAAGAGAGTTATCGTGCCCCAAAGTATCAACCAATCAAATTGCTTATCTCTGCTTACCCTAAGCGGAAAATGCTCATCTTCGAACTCCATCAAGGCATTGACCTAATAAACACATACACCAAGTTTGAACATTCTAGCTCAATTAAAAGTTATCGTGTCCCAAAGTATCAACCAATCAAATTGCTTATCTCTGCTTACCCTAAGCGGAAAATGCTCATCTTCGAACTCCATCAAGGCATTGACCTAATCAACACATACACCAAGTTTGAACATTCTAGCCCAATTAGGAAGAGAGTTATCGTGTCCCAAAGCATCAACCAATCAAATTGCTTATCTCTGCTTACCCTAAGCGGAAAATGCTCATCTTCGAACTCCATCAAGGCATTGACCTAATAAACACATACACCAAGTTTGAACATTCTAGCTCAATTAGGAAGAGAGTTATTGTGTCCCAAAAAGTGTGACGGACAGACAGACGGACGGACGGACGGACAGACAGACGGACGAACCCATTTTAATAGTCCCCTGCTTTCTTCGAAAGGCGGGGGACAAAAAACAGTTCGTTCTGTAGCGGTAAGGGGGAAATTATGGACGACAATATACATCCATATCGACAGTGGGCGTATATAGAATATCTAACATTGAACGAGAACATCGGTTATTAAACTCTTCGGTATCCTAAACGGAAAATTGGTCGGTGAACTTAGCAATAATGTTGATATACTTCCAATTTACAACTACTTTGTTTTCAGATTTATTCTAAATATAATTTTGTAATTCCATTCAAGTTGACTTACGTGGTAATTATGCTGAATTTCTTCAGGATAGTGACTTTGGAATTCGCGTTATAAAGGGTGAAATAGCTAGTATTAAGCAATATTATCTCAATTAACTGTTTTGGTCGTCTAGATCTTTGAACCAAGCAATCATTACCCACATAAAAATATGAAATGAACTTATTTGTAATCGGAGAGTTAATCATAAAGGGTCATTAGACCGGCTTTTTGTGAAATAAAATCTCGGTTAGTTTTTTTTTTGTGTAAGCTAGGGTTCAATGTCAGTTATAGATTTAACTCATTTGCGCCCATTGTTTCCTGTGTATGCCAAACAAACACAAGATGTTCAAGGAAAGGTCTTGACATTTACGAGCAGAATTTATGTGTTCGTATTCGCCTTTAGTTGACTACTGCGGTTGGAGAACTGTAAACACAAAATTTCTCAAAAATATAACGCAAGCGAAGTGTTCGTATTGCCCTTTTCAATTACTTTCGGGTCTTTAATTAAAATCTGGTAAAAGCTTTTTTATATACTTTCGATGGCCTACACTACATGAAAATCTGACCAGTTGTAGTGGAAGGTCGCGTCAGGTGTCAAACGAGCGGCTTTTGACCTTATGACGTCAGACATTGATTAATCAATCAGCGTTGACTTTTCTAGTGGTTTACCCACAGTTCCGTGCACCTCATGTCAAAAACTCGCCATAACAGACCGTTTCATTGGCTAATCCCTTACATCACGCAGAATGCTGGTTATATAACAACTCTTCCAGATCCTAGTGTAGCAAAGACAAGTAAAACGGTTATTAAGGCAGAGCAACATTGACACTTCTTTCACTATCCCCACATCCCTAAAACAGATCTTAAAAGTCAAAGCAAAACGTCAACCAACCATTCCCACACAACCAAAAGGATCCATCTACGAAATCGACTGCTCCAGTGAAAAAAACCTATATCGGGGAAACCAAAAGACCAGTTGAAAAAAAAAAGAATCCTAGAACACAAGTCAAGAGCCCAACTAAAACATAAGCCATGGCAAAACGTGTGAAGGACCACCCACGGCCCAAAATTGAGAGAGAGAGAGAAAAAAATGGGGTTTAACGTCCACTCGACACAAACCAGGCCATTTTGGGACCAACATACGGTTCAATTATATTTCAATAATTCGCTTGCGCGTAGGGATGTTTAAAAGTGGGTGGAAAACGGGGGAACCTGACAAAAACCCACTAGGTTGGGAGGCCTGATAACGAGGATACTTATTGAAACTTCGTGCTCGTGTAAAATAAACCAGTGATTGATGTTCCATATAACCGTGTTAGTTCTCAAATAAAAGCAGCATGACAATTATGCAAAATGGCCGAACTAGCATTTTTGAAATACTTCCTACATCTCATAGCAGCACCGGTGCTGGTAATAAAGATTCATAACATAATCTATGTTTAGGAAAGTAGTCTTCCTAAACTTAACTCAGGCTAAGAATAATTTATTTTAATATTTTTGGAACAATATACTTTGCCTAAGTCCTTATTGCCTTTTCAGTCTATAATGTTTGGGATTTAATGGGCTACAATAGCAACATAGACCAGAATATGATATATTTTTACTAGTACACTACTTGAAATATAAAATAATGTAGTTAGCAGATATCCAAAGAAGTATACACAAAAGATTATATTATAAGAAAATATTAAGCTTTGACCCATTACCAGACAATAGAAACTCAAAATGAACAAATGTTACCCCAGTTGTTACTTGTATATTTTTTACTTACTAAAAACTGTCAAATGCCACTAGACAAGATCCTTGTATACAAATTTATGGCTTTGGGTGAGTTAAAGGTAAATTAATGATCATTCATACATGTAAATTGGAAAATTACAAAACTCTTTTTTTATTGGAAATAAAGAAAAAAAAAATCTTATGTATAAATTCTTTTATAAAGAATAAAATAGACAAAAAATCTAGGCGTGATGGACAAAAAGGTATAACAATTGAAAACATTAACAGACTTGAAAGACTTTGATATTTCAGTAAATTAGTGGTCATCAATGAATCGGAAAATAACAAAGCAACAAAGTAATTTTTATGAAAATACCCCCTCCCCAATGTATGAATTCTTTAATTTCGAATAAAATAGAAAAACCTAGACATGAATTGAAAAAGAAAATAAAAGCATAACAATTGGAAGCATTAACAAACTGTGCAAACTTTTGTAGTAACTTCTGTTTCATTAATTCAGAAAGCCCTTGGGCAGTCAAATAACATGTTAAGAATCTTCTTTAATTTCTAAAGCTCCTTAAATCAATATCTGGCTATCTTTACTTTACTAACTATATAGACATGTTCTTTGTGTTCTTTCAACGAAATTTTTATTAAACAATACTTTTGATTCATAAAAACTCCATATACTCTTCAAGTTGCATTTCTAAATGCCTTAAATCGGCCCTTCCTGTGTAGTCATCTTCTGGTTCCTCTCCAAGTAATTCTTTAAAAGGGTGACAATCTTCATAAAGAACCTGTGGACTTAATAAGCCTCCAGACAAAACCGTTCCACAACCCTGAAAAACAGAAATTGATTGACATGCCACTTGTAAAATACATCATGTCAGCTTTATATAGGATCGCTGTCAACCTGGTTCCAATAAAAAAAAAGGTGGCAATGACAGTGGGATGGGTTGAGTGGCAGTGGGGCTGTTGGAAAAGAAATGGGGTTTAATGTCAGGTCAACACTAAGAACTAGGTCATTTTGGCACAGTGGCTCAATGAGTAAGATGACAACTTGTTAACCGCTGTTCACAGAGAAAGTTCCTCAGGATTTTCCAGCGTGGTTTCCCCTTGTTAGTGGTGCGGCACAGAGGGCCTGGAAAGGACAGTTACTAATTGTTAGGATGGAACGGGAAAGCACCAAGGTCCTGTGTACACAGTGGCATGCATTTTAAAGAGCCCTAGACAATTGGAATTCGAAATAGAGTAGGCCGTAGACAGGGCTCTATAAAAGTTGAGTGTGCCTGCGCACACACTTGAAAATGTGCCTACAGGGTCATACTGAAACACAGGGATGTAGCCAGGATTTGGTGAGTGGTGTAAAAATATATTTGGCGAGCGGAGCGAGGCAAAAACAATTTTGGGAGGGGGGCGTGGTCTTTTATGAAAATTAAACCCTTCTTGGTGTATTTTCAGAGCATCTGCTGCCTTTTGTATTTGGTTCAGTGCAAATCAAATTTCCATTTATATATTCAAATTTTACCAAATTCACTTAATTTTCATCAATGATACAGGGATCTAAAAACTTTTTGACACCACCCGACCGAGCATAAAATTGTCCCGCCCCACTCTGTTTCTCTGGATAGATAAGTTGAGGACCTTTCGGTATTTGTTGTTTTGTTGGGTTTTTTTTTCAAATATTACTTTATTACTTTGAGATTAAAAATTAAAACGATTCTTAAAACGGTGTTTGTGTTTAATTTGAGTACAACGAATTATGACAACAGGTAGATATTGATAATTAAAACACGTTGTATTATTTGACTTGTTTGTAAAGTTGTTGTACGTGACTCACGAATATTATTATTATTACGGTGGAATGAGAATCAGGTCAGGCAGAAACTAAGAAAGCTCTCATCGTCCTCCTAGTCCTACTCTCGGGCCGTAGCAAATCCACGGTCAACACAGGTAAGAAATAAAATAAGAAACATCGTGAAAATTTGCAGGCACGTGTTGGACAATTACGACATTCAAACCTTTAACATTGGAGTGCCGTAAATTGGTCTGGGTGAACCATTTACGGCAAATAAACAAATATAAAGACCGTAGAATAATTGTAAAATGAATAGACCTAGGCCTACACATCTTCTAAGTATAAATAAACAAAATACCAATACATCTTTCTTTAAACTAATTTGGGATGATAGGATCTACTACGGCACACAAAAATAAATTATGCCGTGACAGACATGGTTTGCGTACGTCGACTTTTACCATGGCTTTGCCGTTTAATTCAAATAATTGCCGTGGTAAATTTCGAGCGCCGAGTTTGTGTACAGAGAAGGACGAAGGGGTTTAAATACGACTGGGCGGCTTTCTTCGTTTTTTTCTTTGTGCTGGGCGACAAAAAATAGTGCCGGGCGCAGGCGCCGCCGGTGTGGCTACATCTTTAAAAATGTGCCTGCAAAAAAGTTTTTTTAAAGCAAATGTGCCTGCACACGCCGTGCACATGTGCGCGGAAATATCGATGCCTAGCCGTAGAACAGCTTCCAGGCAAAATACCCCTCATAGCACACTGCATGGTGTATGGCTGTCTTTATTAGCACAGTCAGTGCAGAAAAATAGGACGTTAAACCCCATTTCATTTCAACACAAATATTTGGTGTATTTTTGTTTCGATAATTCCTTTGCACACTGGGATCTTTTTAAACTCTATGAAGGAAGCTGGAGTACGTGGAGACCTTACCCCTAGTCAGTATAAACCCGGGAACAAACCCATGACTTGTAATGAAAACAAGCCACCCCACACAACTCCTGTTGTTGTCATTCTAAACTGTAGCACAATTAGAAGTGGTATCAGGTTTCCAAAAGAGTTGACCAATACCATAATTACAAACCAGAGATTCCAAGTAAGTTAAAGTAATGTCTGGCAGTGAAAGTCATAGGTCTGAGTGTTTCTTACCAATTTAACAGTTTCTTTTTGTAAGGTGAAAACTTTTGGTTGAAATTCTGCTCCAGACACATGACATTTAAAGGGTGTTTTCTTTTCTTTTAGAACTTCACTTAATACAGGCGTTTCAAACTTCATCTAAATAAAATACAAAGTAAGTATTGAGCTATTGTACTTAAAGGGGCATTAGGTAAGATCAGATAATGAGCTGATAGTTCTCACTATAATAGTTAAAAAAAAACCAGATAATGAAAAGAGAACATGCTGAACATTTAAGTCAAATTGCTTTACTCTGAACCTAGATATTAGCGATACAAATTTTTGGCTAGCCTCGAGTGTCATTATTACCATTGTTATCCATTTGTACGGTTATTTCATCCAGCACAAAACGTATTCAAATCCACTAATCATCGCAGGTATCCGATGGCGTCAAGAGTTGATTATGGTCTTGGTAAGTATATTAATGTCTTATTAATAATTAGATAACATTTAAGACCTAAAGAAAGACCTGCAATAGGCAGATTTAGATCTTGGATAATGTATGTTTAATCAAATAACAGGTCACTAACACATGGTTGAATTTGTCACGAACAACCGGGGAATCGAAACCACGCCAGTTGACTCAATGACATCCAACGCCCCTCATTAGAAAAAATGAAACATGATAAGACTTCTAGTTCTTCCTCCTGCTAACATAAACAAAACATGTACCGATAATCAGATAATAATTTTATCTGTTAAATATAAATAAGAATTTTCGTCTAGTGAACAGAAACAATGTATAAATTTCAAATCAAAAGTGAAATGACATGAAATGGGGTTTAACGTGATACTGTTTTGCTCCTAACCTTTGCTAATGAAGACGGGCATACGCCATACAGTGTGCTATGAGGGAAATTTTGCCCGGGCAGCGGCACTACGGCCTTCTCTTATATCAAATTCCAACTGCCAAGGGATCATTTACATTCACGCCCATGTGTACACGGGACCTCGGTTTTTCGTCCCATCCAAACGACTAGACAGCTGTTTATGTCAGGCTATCCGTCCTGCATCACTGACAAGGGGAAACCACGCCGGAAAATCTGGATGAACTTTCTCGGCCAATGCAGGGATCGAACACCTGACCTCCAGGCCAGCAAACCAGCGTCTTACCCACTTAGCCACGTGATCCCCTCAAATCTAAAGGGGTGAACACAATACAATATAAAACCACAGTATAGTGAGGTTTATGTAAGTTGTTGGTTTTTTTATTGAAATTTTTTTTTTTTTGGTGGGGGGGGGGGGGTGTTCTCAAGTTTCAAGGTTTTTTTTATTATCAAATTTATTTTAAAATTTCTTATGATTACAATGGCGTAATTACATGTTACATTGCACTTACTCCTGATTCTTTGAGTATTTTAACAATAACTGGAGACAGTTGTAGAGCTTGTTTAGCTCGTGTTATGGCTACGTACAGTAGATTACTCTCATCATATGGTATAGGTCCTGGTCCTAGTACTACACCTTTAAATAAAACATATTATATGAAAGAAAAGTACAACACCTGATAATAGAACATTATATTATGACAAAAGAATACTCAAATCATTTTATCAGTAAAAGACCGAACTTAAAAATAAATGAACATAACATTGATATTTCAAAAATGACATTTTCAAAGTTCATTCACAAACTATTCAATCAGATCTGATCTACTTTTTCAGTTCCTGGTACAAAATATTGAAACATTACCATCATCATTAAAGGAACCTTGAAATAGACAAATGTGGTTCTAAAAGCACATAATAATGCAATATGAATGTATGTAAAGGGATTTATATTGAAATTTTGAAAAACATATTGTAATTTCTAATCAATTATTTTTGGTGAAATATGTGAACAGTTCAAATTGAATGACAGTAATTTACGCCTGCTTAGTCCATTCTACATGTTTTTTTTTTATTATTTCTTTGTCGTTTTTGAATCAGCCTTTACTAATTACCTCCACATAGTCTTGCAGTTTGTATTTGTTCATTAGAAAATAACACCTGAAACTACAGATTACACGACTCATGTACTGATTATACAAAAGCATCGCTACCGCTGCAATATACGTCCACATTCCTGCTTTGATTGATATGGTACTAGAGGCAAAGAAGGCTCCGCGTCGGATTTGTTTTACCAAGACTAAATATTAAAAAAAAGTGGGTGTGACACCACCCCTGTGGGTCGGGGCATGCACCAAAATAAATAGTTGTGGTTCTTAAATATGCCGAGTTTCAAGGTGATCCATTCAGAATTCAAGCCTATAGACAAAAACCACAAAAATTGGCGGTGGCTCTGCCCTTGAAGGTCGGGACATGCACCAAAATCAACAGTTGCTGTCCTTAGGCTACAAGGAATACATATTCCAAGTTTCAAGATGATCCATTCAGAATTGCGCTCTGTATACGATAAACCGAAAATAGGGCATGGCTCTGCCCCTGGGGCCGGGACATGCACTAAAATCAATAGTTGCCGTCATTAGCCTATAACCAATACATATAAGATGTTCCAAGATGATACATTAAGAAATGTGGCCGTGGGCAACACACCAAAAAAGGGTGCCTCTCTACACCTGGGGGTCGGGCATTCATCAAAAAACTTTAGCCTCTAGAGCGTCCACAATATATTTGAAACTGATTAAAGTTAAACATACATTATGGCAGATTCGATAACAAGTTGTCAGTTCTCACTATAATAGTTAAAAACTAGATAATGTAAAGCCAATTTGCTGAAAATTTCATTCAAATTGATCCACTATGAACCAAGAACAAAGTGTTTGAATTTCCGCCTTGCCTTGATCATTTTTACTAAAGTCAGTACGATAAAGAGCATAGTCTCGATTATACAATTAATCGTTAAATCGTGAAGGAAAGTTATGCAGTAAATCGGCTCACAATCCACTACAGATCGCAGGCTAGCGATGCCATCTAGAGTTGATTATGGTCTGGATAGGTTAATTAATGTCTAATTAATAATTTAGATAACATTTCAGGCCTAAAGAAAGACCTGCAACAGACAGATTTAGCTCTTGCATAATGTATGTTTAAAGGCCATAACTGTGGTAGGAATTATTGGAAATCATTGAAAATCAATAGGCTTCTTCGTCTCATGACCTTAAACACTGTGTATAAATTTAAAGTCTTTCGGATATTAAAGGATGGACGGATGGGGGCGATGACAATATACGACCACATTTCAATGTTGGTGTATAAAAATGTTACTTGTGTCTTAAATATTGGATATTAGGATCCTATATTGTCCCTGCAAGATAACAACATTAATATTGATTGAAATTGATCAAAATTGAGTTAGAGATTAAGCCTCCTTCAAGTGAATATATCGAGCCATTATCATCATCATAAAACGAATATATATAAACATTACATGTAGGTGTTCCTAAGTACTATCTAAGAAATTCTTATTCTCAATTTTCCCAGCTATAATAGATATAATTTGAATGACTTACTGGATCCGGGTCCTAGATAGGTATAATCATCCGTGACTTTAACTGTTGAAAATTCTAATCCTTTAGCTTTATGAGCTGTACTAAATACTACATCTGTAAAAGATCATATAATTATAAGCCATTTACTTTATGAGCTATAATACATGTATATACTACATCATTAAAAGAACATATAATTATAAACATTTAGCTCTATGAGCTGTGCTTAAACAATACATAAAAGTTACAGTATATCATCACAGTGCTTCACATATAAATAACCAGTTTTATTACATTAAAACTATGTGGTAAATTGTTTAAGCGACATTTAGTAACTGAATTAGAATAACACATAACACAATTATATTAAATACTGTAAACCATGATAATGACTAGAGAACCTTCATGGAAAAGGCACCAGAAATAAACTTTTAAAAAGTAACTTGTATTCCATATAACCGTGTCATGTGTTTATCAGGTAAAACTCTTTGATATATACTATTCAAAAAAAGTAGGGGATATTTGATTTTGGGGGCATAATACTAAAATATGCAAATGACTACGAAAAAAGTCACTATAGAACCTAACAGAAGAAACATTTCCAGTTACATGTGACGCCCAAACGCACCAATAGCTACCGCATGGAATGCAGGTGATGCTTGGGATCATCATGGGGGTCCAACCCAAGATTTGCACGACTCTGACTTTGAATGTTACAGTCATTGTGGCATTGAATTCCAGGGTGGAAACATCAGTTTAATTGTTTTAGTGACCAGAAAACAAATTTTGATATGCGTCGGCTTACCCAAAATGAAAGGTTTACGTGCCCTTGGCATGCTACAGATCGGCACAACACAGGCGGTTGTGGCGCGGACGATGAATGTTTCTCAGTCTGTCATTAGCAGGCTATGGTCCAGATACCGTGATACACAATCTGTACAGGACAGACCACGCTCAGGTCGACCAAGGGCGACAACTCAAGCCCAGGATCGATTTATCCGTACCTTGGCCTTGAGAAAAAGTCATCACAGCAAATCAGATCAGCGCTCGTCTTCAAACAGACACTGGTGTGAGAGTGAGTGGCCAGACGATTCGGAATCGACTGCATAGGGGTCACCTTCGCGCCCGACGTCCTCGCGTGATCCCTTGTTTGAGAGATCATCACATTCAGGCAAGACGTCGTTGGTGTAGGGATTGTCAACACTGGGATAATCGACGCTGGAGCAATGTGATGTTTTCAGATGAGTCAAGGTTCACTGTTGATTTTTTGGACAGACGTAGGAGGGTGTGGCGTCGTCGAAACGAGCGCTTCCAAGACGTTAATGTCATCAGACATGATCGATTTGGGGGTGGTTCTGTTATGGTGTGGGGAGGCATCACTGTTGCTGGAAGAACGGCTTTACATGTTGTTGCAGGGCGTGTTACAGGCCAGTACTACCGGGACAACATCTTGGCAGTCCATGTTGTGCCGTTCGCACGACGTCATGGCCGCCATTTCATCTTCCAGGATGACAACGCAAGATGTCACAGGGCCAGGATCGTTACAGGTTACCTCCAACAACAGAACATCACCACATTACCTTGGCCAGCACTGAGTCCCGACCTCTCCCCCATCGAGCATGTCTGGGACATGTTTGGACAGAGGTTACGTCAACGTCAACAACGACCTGCCAATGTCCAAGAACTTGCTGCTGCGTTGCAACAGGAATGGGACAATCTGGACCAAAATGACCTTAGACGTCTCATTAGGAGTATGCCACGTCGGATCAATGCTTGTTTGGCAAACAGAGGAGGATTTACCCGTTACTGACTTGGTTGTGATGCTGTGGTAACTTTGCTGTTTGACCCCGGGTATCATTTTACCCTTATAATGGTCAGTCTGTGCCTTACTTAGTCTAACGATCATTTGGAATAAATCGATGAACGTGAACTTCATTTCATTTTGTCATTTGTTTCTTCGTCAGTTTCATTAGGTGACTTTAATAACACTTAAAAATCAAATATCCCCTACTTTTTTTGAATAGTATAGAAATAACCAGTTTTATTCCATAGAATATATTATTATTATTTACCTGCAACAGAAATATCTTTAATAGTTTTACTTAGTATCTTATCTATATGACCAGGTAAATTGTGATTATACGTCTTCACTATCTTAATTTTTCCTAACAGTTCTGGATCCATAGCTTTAGTAGCATATTTCTCCAAATCCCCTATTGTTTTGAAGCGAGCAATAAAACTGTTTCTTATTTCTCGTTTTGCTGAAAGAAAAATAACAAATATTACAAGAATTTAAAGGAACAATCTCTGATTCCCCAGAGTATACCATACCTTGAAAAAAGTTAGTCTAAGTATGCCAATCGTCAATCAAATGCCAAAATGTAAATAAATAACCCAACAGCCGTCTGTCCAGAAATAATCACTAGATTTGCTTTAACAGGGTTACATAGCTCATAAGAATTTTGCATTGCTATAAATTCTGTTTGGAAAGTGAAAGTGTGTATTTTTTCAAAATGGTATCACCAAGCATTCAGAAGTTGAACAGGACTATAAAAAAGGTTTCCAATAGTACCGTAAGTGCAAACCAAGACATAATGTAAACCAAACCAAAAGACAAACCTGCAGACAAGACATAAACAACACAGAAATTGCAAGCAATACACAACAGTCATGGGCCTGTAATGATAAGGCTTCACCTAGTTTTTCACATTTAGAATTTATGGCTTTCACGCTCCTTTAAATGTCTCGTCAACATTTTAAAGTAGACAAGCATTACAAGAACTAAACTGGTCTTCAAGTTATGAAATCAATTCTAACCTGAACAAAAATTAATATTACCTGCTATTCTTTCATGGCTTGGCATCATCAAAGTATAGATATCTTGTATGATAGGAAAGCCAAACCCATCTGTTCCCTATATATTTAGTAGAAAATTAAACATAACTTAATTTGTTGTTTTGAAAAAAAAAACCCAAAAGAATATGATTTGTATTAAAAAAGTTTTTGTTTTCGTGGTCTTTAACTACATATTTTCCATTAATTGTGGAATAATGAGCCTTTAAACATACATTATGCAAGCTCTAAATCTGCCTATTGCAAGTCTTTCTTTAGTACTGAAATGTTATCTAAATTATTAATTAGACATTAATTAACTTATCCAGACCATAATCAACTCTCGATGTCAACACTAGCCTGCGATATTTATTGGATTAGGATTCGATTTGCTGCTCAACTTTCATTATGATTTAATCATAAACTAAAATCTGGGTTCAGAGTGGATCAATTTGACTGAAATTTTCAGCAATATATTTTCAAAATGGTTTACAAATCCGAAATCACCAAATTTTACGAACGAAGAAATTTACCTACATACTTATAAATTTGTGATTTTTGAACTATTTTACTAATTCTTTTTTCTTTGAGTACCTTGAAACATTTACTTCAAATCTGCTATTTCCGATTTTCGAATTTAAAAAAATTATGTCATTGACATTTCATCCCTGAAGTAAAACCAAATTGACGACTTCTTTAATATTAGTACGATTTTCATGAAATTTGGAATGTAAGTAAATCTCATTGACCCAACTACAACGATATCATTAGAAATATTCTAATTTAACTGCAGAAATTAAGGGACAAATTTTTGAAAAATTCGAAAAAAATAGGTCAGATTCGCTTGAAATTTTTTTTCTGTACTAGCTAAGACATTACTGATGCCTACACAAAATATGGAGCTTATTGATCGAACCGGAAGTGCCACCATCTTGAAATGTGAAAAATCCCTAAGGCTTTTGCGATATTTTATTTACAGACATTAGAGTTAGATTTTCTGAATCCTTGAAGAAATGACAAAAAAAGGTCAGAGCAGAATTTTGATTTAGGTCAACAGATGGTCACCATTTTGAATTGAATATGAAAAATAGTGAAAAATCTACATAAACGGGCTTGTAAATAAACACAATAGGCCATAGTTTGTTGAATTCCGTCTACTATTTCTGAAATTAATACATTTCTGGATAGCCTGGCTCAACGTCAAATTTTTGGTATTTGAAAATTTTGACATTTGACGTTTTTAGTACCGACAAAGTTGCTTACGAGGGAAAGATACGAATTAATGGTTTGGAAATACTTGGAATAGGCCGTTTCTGGTTAGCCTCCTTTCAAGAATGGTTGTTGGCTTTAGAAACAGTATAATTTCTTAATGTTTTATGAATCCAAAATCACCAAAATTTACTGATGAAGAAATTGAACTACATGTACATAGCTGTAATTTTTTGATCTATTTTACTAATTGTTTCTTCTATGAGTACCTTAGTACATTTACTTTAAATCTGCTATTTCTGATTTTCGAATATTATGTCATCGACATCTCATCCCGGAAGTAAAAACCAACATGACGATTTTCATGAAATTGGGAATGTAAATAGATCTGGTTGATCCAACTTTAACGATGTCATTAGAAATTTTCTAAGTTATCTCCCATTGGAGAAATAAAGGATCAAAGTTTTCAAAAAAATCGACAAAAAGTAGGTCAGATAGCCTTCAAAATTTATTTGTTCACATCTTGAAATGTGAAAAATCCCTAAGGCTTTTGTAATATTTTACTTACAGACATGAGAGTTACATTTTCTGAATACTTGCAGGAATGCCTAAAAATCATTCAGAGCAGAATTTTAATTTCGGTCAACTGATGGTGACCATTTTGAGTTGAATATAAAAAACATTTAAAAATCCACCTCAACGTATGTGAAAATAAACACAAAAGGCAGACACAATAGGCTGAATACATTTCTGGTTAGCCGGGATCAGGGTCAAATTTTGCTATTTGAAAATTTCAAAATTTCACCTTTGACCTTTTATGCCAACAAAGTTGTTTACAGGACAATTTATGTTCTTAATTTTCAAAATTTACAAATTTAACCTAAATATTCGAAAAGCTGAGGTCAGTCCGATATGATTCCAAAAATATAAGTTCCATTCAAAGTTATCTCATTTAATATTTCGATATTTTCCCTAATTTTTTAGTTCTTTCACGCCATTTTCATTTCATTTTTTCATCTGTCCCATTTTTAAATGGCTTGATCCATTTTTCTGAAACTTCTAGAACCGGAAGTCAATCCGATTACAGCAATACAAGTGTCAGTTATTTCCATTTATTTTTCAGCCCGGGTGCATTATTTCTCATTATATTTACACTTATAACTTCCCAAGTTTTTAACCAATGTTGATAATTACTTTTTCTTGTCCTTTTTTCTTTTAAAAATCTTGATATAATCCATGACATATGACTATGAATATGAAAGCTTTCATATCTGCATGGGACAGTAGCAGATCTATTTATCTTTATTTCTATTCTGGACTTTGTATGCAACTTAAAAATGGATTAATGCTTAAGACAACACCTTATCTATTATTCGTCAGTTCAGTGCTATTAATTTACATTTATCTTGTACTAAAATTATGCCGATCTGATTAAAACACTAGGATCTGGAAGAGTTGTTATATAACAGACCTTCTAGTTGTTGGAGGAATTAGTCAATGAAACAGTCTGTTACGGAATTGTGGGTAAAGCCCTAGAAAGTTAACACTGATTGATTAATCAATGTCTGACCTCATAGGGTCAAAAGCCGCTCTATAACCCCTGACACGACCTCCCAGTACAACTGGTCAGATCTTCATGTAGTGTAGGCCATCGAAAATATAAAAAAAACAAAACGAAATATAGATCTGTATTTTAATCAGATTTCAATTATCAGATTTCAATTTATTTACGTATAACAGTAGAATCACATTATATACGCATGTTGAAATGTATATATAAAGATCCACCCACAGCAGCTAAGACTTCCAAGTAGTCCACAAACGTGGCACATTCTTATTCTTTGGATATAATCAAAATATTAACAATACACTATAAAAACTGACCAAAGGCAATGATACATAAAGTAATTATCAGAAATAGGCACCTTCTTCTTCCTAAGAGCAACAAAGATAGATTGCCAGGCAACGAAACATACGCAGCAGCTAAATCGTCAAGCGATAGACAAGGGTTGTCGCATATTTTTTTCTTTTGTAAGTAATTGGTGGCATATACAAGACAATTTTTGTCATTTGAACGTTCACAAGGTTCAACATAGTAAAACAAGGGCCACAAATCTAGAAAGAATTGACGGAAATTGTTGAAATTCAATAGGCTTCTTCGTTTCAGTAATTTAAATGATGTATATAAATTTCATTCAGATCGGATGATAACTTTCGTCATTCGAGTGTTCACACGTTTCAACAAAGTGAAACAAGGACCATAACTCTAGAAATAATGATTGGAAATTGCTGAAATTCAACAGGCTTCTTTGTTTCACTAATTCAAATGATGCATATAAATTTCATACAGATCGGATGATAATTATTGTCGTTAGAGTGTTCTCAAGGTTCAACAAAGTTGAACAAGGGTGATAAGTGATAACTCTAGAAGTGATTATGATAAATGTAGTCTCGTGTGTTCACAAGAAATTGTGGAAGACAAAACATTTAATCAGATAATAACTTTAGGTGTTTGAGCTTGCCAGACAAGATACGCCCACATTTTGCAAGCGATGGATAGAGAACAAGCTAAAAACAAACGCGATTTTTTGTACAATCAGGGGCCATAATCCAGAAAGTTATGGTCTGAAATGCACAAATATCAAAAGAGACTCAGATCTTTGGAATATAAAGATATGTTTTAAGTTTCATCAAAATCGGATAAAAAATTGTGACCTCTAGAGGGTCCATACCCTTGGATTACATACTTATCTTATACTCTAGAAAATCCACAAGCTAAAAATATGATTTTTTGACAAATCAGGGGCCATAATCCAGGAAGTTATGTTCGGATATGTGTGATTATCAAAAGGAACCAAGATTTTTATGATAAAAACATATATTTAAAGTTTCATCCAAATCAGATAAAAACTGTGGTCTCCAGAACCTAGATATACCATATTTTTACACTATTTGCGTACAAGGGGTGGCCATTATGTCCGTGAGTTTTTGTCAGATTTTTACGAAAGTTTGGAACTCAACCATCATTAGTGTATAACTGTGATATATTCACACATTTTTTTTTTAATCAGATAAAAATTGTGACTAGGGACCACATTCTCAAAACATGATTTTTTGTACAATCAAGGGCCATAATTCAGGAAGTTACGATCTGATATGCGCGAATATCGAAAGAAAACAAGATCTTTGGGTTATAAACATGCATATCAAGGTTCATCAAAATCGGATCAAAATTGTGATCTCTAGGAGGTCCAAAACCTTGATATAACATATGTTTACCCTATTTGCTTACAAGGGGCGACCATTTTGTCCGAAGTTTTGGACCGATTTTCACGAAATTCGAACTCAACTATCATTAGTGTGTAACTGTTATATTCTAAAACATTTTTTTTAAATTGGATATAAATTGTGACCTCTAGAGGGACCACAAGCTAAAAACGCGATTTTTCGAACAATCAGGGGCCATAATTCAAAAAGTTATGATCCGATATGTGCGAATATCGAAAGGAAACAAGATATCTGGGTTATTAACATGCATTTCAAGTTTCATCAAAATCGGATCAAAATTGTGACCTCTAGAGTGTCCACAAGCTAAAAGCATGATTTTACGTACAATCAGGGGCCATAATCCATAAAGTTATCGTTCGATACATACCAATATTGAAAGGAACCAAAATCTTTGGGAGATAGACCTATATTTCAAGTTTCGTCAAAATTGGATAAATATTGTGACCTGTAGAGTGTCCACAAACATATTGTCGACGAACGTGGGCGTATAAAAACATGATTTTTCGTACAATCAGGGGTCATAATCCATGAAGTTATGGTCCGATACATGCCATTATCGAAAGGAACCAAGATCTTTGGGAGATAGACCTATATTTCAAGTTTCGTCAAAATCAGATAAAAATTGTGACCTGTAGAGTGTCCACAAACAAATTGTGGACAGACGGACGGAGGTACGGACGGACAGGGGCAATAGCATAATACATTAAAATGAAAATGTTGGCGTAATAAAATCAGAAGGCTTCTTGTCTCATGAATAGAAACATTGATGATTACTTTAGCCTCTACAGCGTCCAAAAGATTTTTTTAAACTCTAAAAGTAATTATCAATCGTTCTAAATTAATAGTCATCTGAATGAAAAGTATATATAATTTTCACAAGATTCTTCTGAGTGATTAAGGGCAATAATTTCAATATAATTATCAGCGTTCTCAAGTTTGAACAAGGGTGATAAGTGAAGTAATTATTGGAAATTACTGTAATTCAACAGTCTTCTTTGCTTCATTAATTTAAATGATTCATATAAATTTCATACAGATCGGATGATAACTTTTGTCGTTCGAGCATTCACACAGTTCATCAAAGTGAAACAAGGACCATACCACTAGACGTAATTAATGGAAATTGCTGAAATTCAATAGCCTTTTCCATCTCACTGACGTTAACAACACACATCAATTTCAAAACAATTATATGGTAAATGTAGTCTCTAGAGTGTTCAAAAGAAATTGTGGATGACGGATGGACTTATGAATGTATGGACAGGGGTGATGGCAATATAATATGTATAATTTTAACAAGATTCTTCTGAGGGATTAAGGGATATAATTTCAACAGTGATTATCAGAATTTGCCACATATAATATGTATAATTTTAACAAGATTCTTCTGAGGGATTAAGGGATATAATTCCAACAGTAATTATCAGAATTTGCCACGAAACAATAAGCTTTTTCTTCACATAAACACTCTGTATAAATTGTGGACAACTGTATCCAATAGTAGAGTGTCCATAAGCACTGGACTGCAGACAGATATAGGGTGCATAAAGTTTATGATTGACAAGGGAAGAACTGAAATGTTCTACAGACTATACTTTGAGCATGTAATATGTGGGTGAACTGCTGCTGCTAGTTTTAAAAATCTATCTGTACCTACCCCAACAAATCCTACTTTTTGATTTTCCATGTTTGAGTAGCAACATTTTTTAACAGCCTCAGCAAACAAAGTAAAATTACATCTAGCTATGATAGCCAACTGTCCAATAGTTTCACCAGTTATTTTGCCTACAGTATTAAATTACATAAGGTTACATAAATAACAAGCCAACAGTGAGGCTGATGTTCCCACCGAAATCACAAAATAAATAGATGACACATGTGACATATTAATTAATTAATTCCACATTTATCTTTTTCAAAGGTATAGAGAAATCAAACTGTCAGTGATGCAGGACGGAGGGCTTGACAAGGACAGCTGTCTAGTCGTTCGGATGGGACAAAAACCGAGGTAACGTGTACACATTGGTGTGCACGTCAAAGATCCCTTGGCAGTTGGAATTAGATATAAGAGTAGGCCGTAGCGCCGCTGCCCGGGCAAAATTTCCCTCATAGCACACTGTATGGCATATGCCCGTCTTCATTAGCCCAGTTTAGGAGCAGAACAGTAGGATGTTAAACCCCATTTCATTTCATCTATACTTAATCTAAGCATAAAATGTTCACAATCAAACTCAGTAAAGGTTTTGAAGTAGCTGGTAATGAAACTACACACTGAGTTTTATCACTCTCCATAAGTTAAAATCAAGGTTATCTTGTCCTAAAGCATCGGCCAATGAAATTGTTTAGCTTTGCTTAGCTTTAGCGTGAAATGTTAATCATTGAACTCAGTCAAGACATTCACCTAATGAACATCAAGTTTAAACATTCTACCTCAATTAAAAAGCCGGGGGTGGGTGGTTGGCCGAATGGTTAGTGCGTGCGCATTATATTGTATTATAAGGTCTGTCACTGAGTCTACCTTTGTGGTTTTGATTCCCCGGTTGTACGTGACAAGGGTAGGTTCGCCTGACCAACCTTTTCGGTTTTCTACAGATCTTTCAATTTCCTCCCACTACTAAAGACCCCTACACGCTAGAAATTGAACCATATGTTAGTCCTGAAATGACCTAGTTTGTGGCTAGTGGATGTTAAAACCCCAGTTCTTTCCAAACTCTAGACCAAATTGCTTATTGCTACTTAGCCAAAGTAGAAAATTCTCATCATGGAACCTAGTCAAGGTTCCAAAGTCTCAACCAATCAAACTGCTTATCTTTGTGTAAAATGTGCATGATAGAACTCTGCCAAGGCATTCACCTAATAGACACCTACACCAAGTTTGTACATTCTACCTCAATTTTGTGGCTAAGTGGGTAAGGCGCTGGCTCGCTAGCCTGGAGGTCGGGTGTTCGATCCCTGCATTGGCCGAGAGAGTTCATCTCGATTTTCCGGCGTGGTTCCCCCTTGTCAGTGATGCAGGACGGAGGGCCTGACAAGGACAGCTGTCTAGTCATTCGGATGAGATGAAAAACCGAGGTCCCGTGTACACATTGGCGTGCACGTAAAAGATCCCTTGACAGTTGGAATTCAATATAAGAGTAGTCCGTAGTGCCGATGTCCGGGCAAAATTTCCCTCATAGCACACTGTTTGGCGTATGCCCGTCTTCATTAGCCCAGTTCGGAGCAAAACAGTATTACGTTAAACCCCATTTCATTTCATTTCATCTACCTCAATTAGAAGGAGAGTTATTGTGTTCCAAAGTCTCGACCAATCAGATTGAAGTCTCTACTTTACCTAAGCAGAATATGGTCAGCATCGAACTTAGTCAAGGTATTGATGTAATGAAACTATACATGAAGTTTCACAACTATCACTCAATTAGAATCAAAGTTGTCGAGCTCCAAAGTCTCAAGCAATCAAATTGCTTATTGCTTGTGTCCAAAAGCATCAACCAAGCAATTTGCTTATCTCTGCTTACCCTAAGCAGAAAATTCTCATCTTCGAACTCCATCAAGACAACCAGTTTGAACATTATACCTCAATTAGAAGGAGAGATATTCTGTTCAAAAGTCTTGACTAATCAAATTGCTTATATTATCGATCTGCTTACCGTGAGTAAAAAATGCTCATTATAACACTTAGTCAAGGTATTGATGTCATGAAACTATACACCAAGTTTCATCACTCACATTTAAGTAGAACTAAAGTTATTGTGTCCCAAAGCATCAACCAATCAAATGCTTATCTCTGCTTACCCTAAGCAGAAAATACTCATCTTCAAACTCAATCAAGGCATTCACCTAATAAACACCTACACCAAGTTTGATTATTCTAGCTCAATTAGGAGAGTTATTGTGTCTCAATTAGGAGAGTTATTGTGTCCCAAAAAGTGTGACGGACAGACAGGCGGAGGACAGTGCAATCAACTGTGTCGAGTTGTATTCTTATCCTTTAAATAACAAACTGTGAAAATTTGAACTCAAATATATAAGAGAATATTGACACAATTGTGTTTCATAATGCAATTTGGCATATTGTCAGTTGTCAATGTTCCAATAACAGCATGTTCAAACATGGCAGCTGCATATGTTTTTCACACTTTATTTCACAAGTGATTTGTCCAAGTTCAGAACCTGGATAAATGAAACAACTTAATTAATTCTGGTGACTATCAACATGCAAGCATGTGTGCCTAATAGAATATTACCTGGTTTCCCATGTCCTACTATAGTTTTCTCTGTTACTTTCTTTAATAGTTGTAAACAACATGCAGCAACATGGGCTATTTCTGGTCCAAATCTGAAAGACTGTTTAACAACATAATTACACAACTTTCAATAATGATTAAATTGATGCTATGGAGTGTCACTATGTGTTGTAGATGTTTTTAGTTATATTTCACTAAGGCCCTGCTTGATTTGTCAATACCGGCTGACCACAGTTCGGCAGTTTTTGCGCGAGCTCACTTGATTTCACCGGAAGTCGACAAAAGTTTGTCTGTGGCGTACGCCGAATGCGCCGCTTTGGCGACAGCGGCGAACACCGGCGCAAGATGGTGAAATGAAATGAAATGGGGTTTAACGTCCTACTCCGAACTGGGCTAATGAAGACGGGCATACGCCATACAGTGTGCTATGAGAGAAATTTTGCCCGGACAGCGGCACTACGGCCTACTCTTATATCGAATTCCAACTGTCAAAGGATCTTTTACGTGCACGCCAATGTGTACACAGGGCCTCGGTTTTTCGTCCAATCCGAACGACTAGACAGCTGATGGTGAACATGTCAACGAGATAAAGTTCATGTTATTTAGGAATGCCATAAAACACTAATTTTAAAGCGTTAAAATTAAACCAAATGTTTTGAAGTTGAATTTGAGCTTGGTAAAACCAAAAGTTCATGTCATTTATTTTTTCTTAGTAATATTACTACTAATAATTTTCTGCTTATTTTGCGGGCACTTTCAAGTCATACTTTCAAGAAAACTTTTTTTGATTAAAACATGTCATGTAATCGGTTTAATATTATAACATTATCCGACGCCATATTGTTTATCAGCCGGTTCACTTGATTTGCTCCGATACGGTAACCTGACCGGCGTACGCCGCCGAAGTAACCGGCTCACCTATCGGCGGACAAATCAAGCAGACCCTATAGATGTTATATTATACAAAAGATGTTTTTTGTTATATTTCACTATGTGTTGTAGATGTTTTTAGTTACATTTCATTATCAATATGTGGTGTAGAGGTTTTTACTTCTATAGATGTTTTTAGCTATATTTTACTATAGATGTTTTTAGATTTAAATATAGATGTTTTTAGATTGATATATATATAAATTAAAAGGTTTTTAAAATCTGATAAAAATTGTGTCCTCAGCTAATAATGTGATTTTTTGTACAATCAGGGGCCATAATCCAGGAAGTTATGGTCTGATATGTGCAAATATCCACAGGAGCTGAGATTTTTGAGATATAAACAAAATCAGACAAAAATTGTGACCTTTAGCAGGTCCACAACCATGGTATTACATACTTCTACACAATTTGCGTTCAAGAAGCAGCCATTTTGGCGGGCAGTGATTGTCTGAGATCCTTGGGATATAAACCTGTTTTAAGTTTCATCAAAATAGGATAAAAATTGTAACCTCTAGATGGTCCACAGTCTTGATATTACATACATTCGAACTCAGCCATCATAATGGTGTAACGGTGATATATTTAAACGTTTATTAAAATCGGATAAAAATTGTGACCTTTAGAGGGACCACACACTAAAAACTAATTAAACAAAACTTTTGTTCAATTAGGGGCCATAATCCAGGAAGTTATGGTCCCATATGCGCGAATCTCGAAAGGAACTAAAATCGTTGGGTTATAATAAACATATATTTCAAGTTTCATCAAAATCGGATAAAAATTGTGACCTCTAGAGTGTCTACAAGCTAAAAACTTGATTTTTCGTACAATCAGGGGTCACAATCCATGAAGTTACGATCCGATACATGCCAATATCGAAATTTTTGGAGACAAACCTATATTTCAAGTTTTGTCAACATCGATAATAATTGTGACTTGAAGAGTGTTCACAAACAAATTGTGGACGGACACACAGGGGCGACGACAATATACATCCAAATAAAAATGTGGGCGTATAAAAAACAATGTATGGTCTAATTCTAATTAGACATTTACAGTGGCTATTAAAGATCTGTGTCCTGTAATTGGAAATTTAAGAAGAGGATATAGCAATATCAAAATGACATTAACTGCCATCAGCTAGTGCTCCTTAAAGTGAACAAACCGCTTGAATCATGTGGATAGCTGTGGTCCTTCAATACCCTGAGTTATTCACATGACTCTGATGCTGATGGTAAGATGTTGTCTAGAGAGCAGTAGTTTCTGATGGTTTGGGGCTGTCCAGGGATATACCGATTTGAAATATATCTCTTTTCTCTAATTCAAGCAACCAGGGTAGTCAATATCTACGCGTATTAACTGCTAACGGGTTAATAGGGTTGGAATGGCCTAGTGCTCTAGCTGGCCGGTCACCTTGGGTTTGCAGTCATGGTTTTGATCGCTCCTCTGAGAGTATGTGGCTTATTCCGGTTTACTCGGGTTTCCTCTCACAGGAGGAAACAAGACAAGTTGTCTGCAATATCACCATCAGTGGAAGCGGATGTTAAAGACCACCAACAATAAAAGCTAGCGGGTTCAATTGATTCACTTAATGAGATGATATATTTGCTTACCTGTGTAAGGTAGAATGTTTTCGTAGACGGTATGTGTTGCATTGCATTAACAGCACCACGGAAAGAATAAATCTGTTGATGAGGATCACCTACTAATATCTTTGTTTGACGTTGTTGTAACATAATATCAATAACAGCTGTAAGTATATCAACATCTATAACTGAGATATACATATAAAGACCTTACTTCCGAAATATGATAAATGTCAGGAAAATATCAACTTGATGACAAAATAAATGCCAACAACATAAAAGATCTCTATCATTGTTATTTCCTTGATTCAATCAAAAATATCATAAAGGCATTATGATCTGAGAAAAAAATAGCTCTATTTCTAAAAATGTGTTTATCTGATTGAGGTCAAATAATTCATTAAAATTTTGTACCAATGTATCCAACAAAATCAACAATTTCATGTCCCTATAAAACAAGAATGTATTTGTGCAAATCAAAATCGTTAAATCGTTCTCAGCTCTCAATGATTTACCCTCATACTTGTCAGGCAGATTACAGTCCAACAAATATACAATATGTATAATACTCAAATATACATGTACAATATCTATAAAACTCAAATATACAATATTAAATTTATACAATTCAAATATATAACTCAAATATATACAATATGTATACAACTTAGATATTTTGTTGTTTTTATCAAATTCTCTGATAGTCACCATATAATAGGTCTATCATCTTACTAATAATATAAAATAACATACAAGGTGTTAAGTCCTGGGCTTCATCTATCAATATTACATCATAATCAGACAGCTGGGGTTCCTGTAACTGATAAAGTTTAAGATAACCATCATGTGTCATTCCTATTTTCTTGTCATTATAATCTTTCATTCTTCTCCACAGGTAGGCAGCATCATTTACATAGATCTGAAAATATCAAGTGGTAAATGAAATGAAATGAAATGAAATGGGGTTTAACGTCCTACTGTTCTGCTCCTAACCTGGGCTAATGAAGACGGGCATACACCATACAGTGTGCTATGAGGGAAATTTTGCCTGGGCAGTGGCACTACGGCCTACTCTTATATCGAATTTCAACTGCCAAGGGATCTTTTACGTGCACACCAATGTGTACACGGGACCTCATTTTTTCGTCCCATCCGAACGACTAGACAGCTGTCCTTGTCAGGCCCTCCATCCTGCATCACTGACAAGAGGAAATCACGCCGGAAAATCTGAATGAACTTTCTCGGCCAATGCAGGGATCGAACACCCGACCTCCAGGCTAGCAAGCCAGTGTCTTACCCACTTAGCCACGAGATCCCCATATCAAGTGGTGAATACTTAAAGATGGGTTCCCGCATACAAACTCGGTGATTTAATGGTATATATGGACCAAAAACATATTCAAACTAATTAATTTGTCATAATTATGCTTCAAATCCTTCTCAAACATTGTAATTGCGAAGGAATGCCCTGCTATTAAAATTCGATCAAACCAGGTCATGTTTACGTCACGTCTTGGGAGTCAGAGGAGAATTCATTGCACACATAAGACGATGTTGTCTTTAATCGCTTACTATTTATTACAAATATTGAACCCTAATTAAATTCTCGGATTATCCACTACCCCCGTCTTTTTCGGTCATTTTTATCTCAGAAAGTATTGTACGTTTAACTCTTCATAAAGTTTATCTACTTGTACATCAAGTGCTCAATGTTCGCTTGTGACCTTTGACATCACGTGTGCAGAAGTTCTTAATCGTCGGGCTGTTGATTAGGGAAACCCTTACATTTTTGTCCTGTATACGCTTCATGAGTGTTTTTCGGGGAATCCAGTATTTTTCTAGTAAGATTGGATATCTCTACTTTCCATATATACCAAAATTTCCATACTTTTATTGGAAATAAACACCCGACAAATACTTTTCTGGGAACCCATCTTTAATCAAATGGACAATATCAATATCAATATCAATAGCATCCTATTCAAATTAATCCTATTCCTATCCTCACCTTATGTAAAGATAGGTTGCCAGGCAATGAAACATACACCCACATTTCTATAAATTTAGAGTCAATCGGATATTAACTCTAGTCTATAGAGTGTCCACAAGATTGTGATCAAGGGTCATAACTCTGGCAGTAATTATTGGAAATTGTTGAAAATCAAAATAGGATTCCTTGTCTCATGACCTTAAACACTGTGTATCGATTTAAAGTCAATCGGGTATTAACTTTAGCCTATAGAGGATGGGCGGGTCGACGGCAATATACAACCACATTTCAATGTAGGCATATAAAAACAACAATGTCTTTCCAGAATGAAATCTTTATACCGGTATTGGTTTCTTACCAGTGAAACTAGAAGGGACCATAGGTTTTCTCACGGTTTGTCTTGTCATTTTTGTTTTCCAATTCTTTTCATTTGATTAAACTTTTGAGATATTTTGATTGATCAATTTTGCATTTCATGGGATTCCGTTAATTTTTACTGAATTATGGCCCATATCCTTATCAGTTGACATAAAGTCAATATAAATTATGTTTTTCAGTATTTATGTAGGTTTAACTTCAAAGTATTTGAATTGATCGAAGAATTGGTGCATGTACAGATAGTAGTGTTACAAATGAAGTAGGCGTTTATAGAATTCTGTTAATCTTTGACAGAATTATGACCCTTTGTTGACTTAAAAAGTCAATGAAAATTCTTTTTATTGTCCTCATGATGAAAAGTTAAAATCAACAGAAATGTTACCATACAACTTCTGTGTAAAATCAATTTGCCTGTTTTATCCCCAAAATCTGGACAGACCAAAAGACACAGGTGAAGACAATAAATGTGGGTGTATAAAACGTTCTTAAAAAGAGATGCATAACCTTGTTAGGTTATATAAAATTTTAGGACTATGCAATTTAATCACACACAGTAAGCCATCATTTGAACAAAACAGGTTTTAAATATGCTTACACAGTAGAAAATTGCTATCAAAGGAAATCTAAATTAACTAAACTTAGCTAGGAAGATTAGCAATTCAAGTAATGTACCGATATATTCCCAAATATAGTTATAATAACACATTTAAAGGAATAGCAGGACCACTCACAAAGTGTTACTCTTTTTAAACAATAACTGTTAAGTCCTTCAGGCAGGTGAAACAATACTTAAATCAAACATTATATTCAGAGTGTTACTCTGACATTCCAGAAATCAGAATATATCTTAAAAAGAGTTCTTATCTTGACAAATAAAATCTACCAAATTATTGCCCTCAGGCCAAGTTTGAACTACATGATCTGATGAGAGGCATGGAAGTAATTACTTCTGTATTTGAGTTAAATACAACGAATCTGGAAGAATTCATGAAATTCATACAATTAATATAATCATATGTTCATGTACATGGTACAGTATATTTAACAAGCATTCTGAAAGTACCCTAAAGGCTCATACAAATTTTGCAATGCATGCTGATACCGTGAATACATTTTGCGAAAATATTAACCAGATAAATAATTTTTAAGTATAGATGAAATAAATTCTGTAAAACTCATTTTTCCCTTTATTAGTCTATATCTCTATTATGTAAAACAGTACAATAAATTTCAATCAAATACTTCAAAGTTTAACCTAAAATATTTCTTAACCAATGGTTACCAGATAAGACACGTACACATTTTGCAAGAGATGGACTGAGAAGTGAGAACAAGCTAAACAAAAACACGATTTTTTGTACAATCATGGGACATTATAATCAAGTTACAGTACGATATGCATGAATATAGAAAGGAACCAAGATCTTTTTCATTGAAACTGGATAGAAATTATGACCTCTAGCGAGTCCACAACCTTGGTATTACATACTTTTAGACTATTTGCGTACAAGGAGTGGCCATTTTGGCCGGATTTTTATGACATTTATACTCAATATTCATTGAGGTGTAACGGTGATATACTTGAACAGTTTTTAAAATTTAATGCAAATTGTGACTTCTAGAGGGTCAACAAGCTAAAAACGTGATTATTTTAACAATCAGGGGTCATAATCCAGCAAGTTACGTTCCAATATGTGTGATTATGAACCAAGATTTTTGGAATATAAAGATATGCTTTAAGTTTCATCAAAATTGGATCATAATTGTGACCTCTAGAGGGTCCACAACCTTGATATGACATACTTTTACACTTTTTGTGTTCGAGGAGCGGTCATTTTATCCTGCATTTTCGGTCTCATTTTCACGAAATTTGAACTCAATTTTCATTATGGTGTAACATAAACGTTTTTTTAAAATCAGATAAAGATAGGTTGCCAGGCAACAAAACAAACGCCCACAGCAGCTAAATCGGTCGACAAGGGTTGTCACATATTATTCTTTTGTAGGTAATTAGGGGCATTTAATAGACAATTTCATACAGATGACATTATAATTTTCGTCGTTTGAGGGTTCACAAGGTTCTAAAAACTAAAACAAGGGCCGTAACTCTGGAAGTAATCTACAGAAATTGTTGAAATTCGACAGGCTTTTTCGTTTTACTAATTCAAATAATGCATGAAAATTTCATACAGATCGGATAACTTTTGTCATTCAAATGTTCACAAGGTTCAACAAAGTAAAACAAGGGCCATAACTCTAGAAGTAATTGACGGAAATTGCTGACATTCAATAGGCTTCCTCATTTCACTAATTTAAATGGTGCATATGAATTTCAAACAGATCGGATGATAACTGTTGTCATTAGAGCATTCACAAGATTCAACAAAGTGAAACAAGGGCAATAACTCTAGTTGTAATTAACGGAAATTGCTGAAATTCAATAGGCTTCTTTGTTTTAATAATTTAAATGATGCATATAAATTTCATACAGATAGGTTGATAACTTTTGTCGTTAGAGCGTTCACAAGGTACAACAAAGTGAAACAAGGGCCATAACTCCAAAAGAAATTAATGAAAGTTATTGAAATTAAATAGGCTTCTTATCTCACTAATGCAAACAACATATATCAATTTTAAAACAATCAGATGATAAATGTAGTCTGTAGAGTGTTACAAAAAATTGTGGATGACGGACCGACAGGCGGACGGACGGACAGGGGCGACAGCAATATACGATCACATTTCTATGTGGGCGTATAAAAATTGTGACCTCTAGTGGGACCATAAGCTAAAAACATGATTTTTCGTACAATCAGGGGCCATAACCCAGGAAGTTATAGTCTGATATGCGCGAATATCTAAAGGAACCAAAATCTTTGGGTGATAAACATACATTTCAAGTTTCATCAAAATCGGATAAAAATTGTGACCTCTAGAATGTCCACAAGCTAAAAATGTGATTTTTCATACAATAAGGGGCCATAATCCATGAAGTGACGGTCCGATACATGCCAATTTCGAAAGGAACGAGATCTTTGGGAGATATACCTATATTTCAAGTTTCGTTAAAAATCAGATAAAAATTGTGACCTGTAGAGTGTCCACAAATTAAATGTGAACGGACAGACGTACAGGGGCGATGACAATATACATTCACATTAAAGTGTGGGCGTATAAAAAAAAAAAAGTAATTTTCATTTGAACTGAAGTCAATACACGGCCATAATTTACTAAAAAATCAACTGGAATCCCATGAAACGCAAACTTGATCAGTGTGTCAACCAGGGAAGTCGTTCTACCAGGATTGTCAAGCGTTCGACAGAGAATATGCCCAATCGGACATCAAGATATGGTAATTCATATTCAACAAAAATATTGACTGTACTGAGCGTATAACTATTATTAATCTTGATTATTGTTGATAATGGGAGAGATTACATGTATTTAAGTGATCAAACCTTTCACATGTATGACGTGGTACATCTACCTTGATTAATTACTTAATCTGCATTGATTGATTTACTTAATCTCCATGATTTTTCTATCTTAACCTGTCTTCATTAGTCCAGTCAGTGCATAAAAATAGGGCATTAAACCCCCACTTCATGTCATCTCTATATCTTAATCTGGAAAACATTTTGGTGTTTCTCCTTTGTCAAACAATTTAATCCCCTTGATGTCGGTCAATGAAATGTAAAAATCAGTCAAAGATTATTACTTGTTGATTAGGAAGCCAATCAACTTGTCAGCTAATCTCGATCCAAGTAAATTGTAGAAACAGTGATTTTGATAATCTCGTAAACATACAAGCTTCATAATTATTTATAGCATTACATCCAGTAAGAAACCTACTGATAGCGCAAATTATTTTCTATAATCAGGGAAATAAAATATTGCTGATGTCAATTGTGAGCACACAATAATTTTTATCTGTAACCATTTACCATAGCCATAAGAAACACCAGTTAACTTATTTTCCATAATGAACAACTTCTGTGTCCACGCTCGCGCATGGAAATCATCGCTTTGGTTAATTTTGCAGAAGAATGTCTCAGTTGTTACATGCATGAATAACAAACAATAAGACCTGATAAAAAGAAGATTAAACCCTGTTTAGACATCATTGAATATTCTTATCATGGACATTTCGCTCAAAGTTTTTATTGTATAAACGAAGACACATAATTGTTGAGAAATATTACTTACTTGGAACTTAAAGCAAGTATGTGAATTAAATATGAACGTTAGCCACACAAATGCAAATACATCCACAAAACAGCTATGTCTCAACAGCGGCTTATCCGATAGGAAAACTTAGATGTTGACCAATTTTAATAGGTCTAGGATCCTTCAAGTAATCTAATCTCAATTGTATTCACAAACTTTTCAGGACAAATAATATATCCCTGTGACAGAATATCTGAATATCAGTATAGGGTTCATTGGATGAACTTTATCCTATCATAAGCCTAACTCTTCAAACAAAATTTGAAAAAAAACTATAGCATATATACATGTATCGCATTAAAAGGATTTCGGACAAGGGGGATGAATCAATAGGGTTCTTCCTCCCATGAACCTAGCTCTTCAAAAAAAAATTTGCAAAAAATCTGTTAAAATATGTAGCCTTTATCGAATTAACAAGGGGAGATAACTCAGGAACAAAAGGTTGCTAACCTGTGTATCACACCCCTCACAAATAGAAGCATGATACCAAATATAGACACAGTTTATCAGGACATCAATGCAATTAGAATGCATAGTATCATCTGCTAATAAAAGGATAATAAAGAATATATGAAAATGGATTTAACGTCCTACTTTTCTGCTTCATCTGAGCTAATTAAGACAGAGATATGCTATGCAGTTTTATATTAGGAAAATTTTGGCAATACAGCAGTGCTATGGCCTACTCTTATATAAAATTCCAACTGTCAAGGATTCTTTAACGTGCATGCCAGGGACTTCATTTTTTTGTCCCATCTGAATGACCAGACACTGTTCCTTGCAAGGCCCTCTATCCTGGACCACGACCAAGGGGAAACCCAGAATATCACGAGGAACTTTCTGTGCCACCACTGGGATTGAACCCAGGACCTCCAAGTTTATGCACCAGAACCTTACTCACTAAGCCAGTATACATAAGGAGAAACAACAAGTTTACAGTATTTATAAGTTCAGAAACTTTAATTACCAATTTTGAAGAGTCTTCTATAACTTTTATGACACCATCATCATTTCTATGGAAACTAGGAGCATGGTCTATGTTAACTGTCTTATCAGATGAAGAAAGAAAGTTGTTGAGAGTTTCTAAGACAAACTTGGCTCTGACATACAGATTTTCTCCTTTAATATTCTGAAGCTCCATGGCGACACTATAGACTTTCAAGCCATACGAATTGAGTTTATTGGCTGCTTTATATCTGTAATTAAAATAAAATTGGTTTGATTCATGTCAAAATAAAGCATTGATATTATTCGATTTTATGTGTTATTCTGATTAGTGATAACGCAGAAGTGTTTACTGATTTTAGTTTATAAACTTGGGCTTACTGTGTTGACAGTGGAATACCAAATCAGTTATATCTCAACACTGGTTGGAATGAAACGAAAAACAAAGATAGGTTGCCAGGTAACGAAACATACGCCCACAGCAGCTAAATCATCTGGTGGTGGGTCGACAAGGGTTGTCGCATATTTATCATGAAATTTGACAGGCTGTTTCGTTTTACAAATTTAAATAATGAATATAAATTTCATACAGATCGGATGATAACTTTTGTCATTCGAACATTCACAAAGTAAAACAAAGGCCATAACTTTAGAAATAATTGACGGAAATTGCTGAAATTCAATAAACCTCCGTTCCACAAATTTAAATGATGCATATAAATTTCATACATATCACATGATTACTTTCATCAATCGAGCATTAACAAGGTTGAACACAGTGAAACAAGGACCATTATTGTAAGATTTCTGAAATTCAAAAGGCTTTGTGGTTTCACTAATCTAAATGATGCATATAAATTTCATACAGATCAGATGATAACTTTTGGCATTCAACAAGGTTCAACAAAGTGAAACAAGACATAATAAACAGAAATTGCTGAAATTCAACAGGCTTCTTCGTTTCACTAATCTAAATAATGCATATAAATTTGGAGTCCAACACTGAAACTATTCAATTGTTTTTCAGATAACTAGTATCATTATGTATAACAATTGTTGTGAAAATAAATCGGAGAGATTTCGATTTGACAGTTTTTACGTATTTTTGAAACAGGTTTCAAAGTGTGTTGGTTCTGTTATGCAAGATCATTTTCGATGTTCCAAAGTAAAAGTTTGGTGCTAAGACCACCTAAAGATAAATTTTAAATGTTCCCATTATTAATTAGAACAGATTTCGCTTTAGTTTATATATTTTACGTTGACATTTAATCGCTTTAAATCTTCCTAGTGCAAAAACGGTAAATTTCACCTTTTGACCTCCAGGGTCACTAAGACTAAAAGTGAATTTTGCAAGTTTACATTTTTATTGAAAGTGTGATTACTTTCAATAATTTTCAGCATATTTTCATGATACATGAATGACTGGCATTTCCTTTCAGTGCAAATGAACTCATTTGACCTTTGCTCCCGAATATCTTTGTTAATGTGAACACATTGAACACAACGCGCGAAAATGTCCAAAAATATTACAAACTTGAAAAAAGTCGCGTTTTAACATCTTTCCAGGGCAGATTGCAGAACCTTGGCGTTTGTTTATAACATGCTCAAAAACAAACGCTGTGACTCGTCGATCATTTGCGATCATGGAGACCACAGCGCGATATCTGGCGTTTCCACCAATGAACCAGCCACTATTGGCCATGGCTACGATAGCCCTTCAAAACTATAAAATTGTACAACCAGTGCAGAATAATGCGCACGTAGAGAAGCCACATAATCTCATGATTGATGTTATAGAGTTGAATCCAACCAACTGTCATATTAAATAAAAACAGCATAGAAATTACGTAAATCCTCAATGTACCTGTTGGGAGAAAAATGCATTCTAATTTTTTTATAGCGGTGTTACGGCCTCGTGGGAATTGTAGAAATAAAACCTAGAGATTGCAACTCGATTATCACAGGTAGACATTTTAGCTTGAAAGCGCGAGACTTGGTATTCGCGACAATCAAGGAATCTGATAGGCTCACAAGTTGGGCTTGTACCCAATCGAAATTAGTGCCGCAAGATGTACGTAGTTAAAGCGAGATCAAGCCTTCTATTGAAGATGGTGGGTCCACAACCTTGGTATTACATACTTTTACACTATTTACGTACAAGGAGCGGCAGCTTGGGTCAGATTTTTATGAAATTTGAACTCGACCTCCATTGAGGTGTAACGGTGATATATTTAAACATCTATTAAAACTGAATACAAATTGTGACTTCTAGTGGGTACACAAGCTAACCAGTGGCTGCCAGGCAGGATACGCCCACATTTTGCAAGAGAACAAGCTAAAAACAAAAATGTTTTTTTGTACAATCAGGGACCATAATCCAGAAAGTTATGGTCTGAAATGTGCAAATATCAAAAGGGACAGAGATTTTTGGAATATAAAGATATGTTTAAAGTTTCATCAAAATCAGATAAAAATTGTGACATCTAGAGGGGCTATAACCTTTGTATTACAAACTTATACACAATTTGCGTACAAAGAATGGCCATTTTGTCCAGCAGTTTCATTTCGATTTTCCCGAAATTCCAATTCAACCTTCATTATGGTGGAATGGTGATATATCTAAACAGATTTTAAAATCTGAAAAAAATTTGTGACCAATCAGGGGTCATAATCCAGGAAGTTATGTTTGGATATGTGTGATTATCAAAAGGAACAAAGATCTTTATGACAAAAACATATATTTAAAGTTTCATCCAAATTGGATAAAAACTGTGACCTTTAGAGGGCCCACAACCTTGATATGCCATATTTTTACACTATTTGAGTACAAGGGGCGACCATTTTTGTCCGGCAGTTTTGGTCTGATTTTCACGAATTCCCAACTCAACCATCATTAGGGTGTAACGGTGATATATAAGAACGTTTTTTTAAATCGGATAATAATTGTGACCTCTTGTGACAAGCTAAAAACGTGTTTTTTCGTACAATCAGAGGACACAATTCACAAAGTTACGATCTGTAATGCGCAAATATCGAAAGACACCAAGAAATTTGGGTTATAAATATGCATTTCAAGTTTTATCAAAATCAGATGAAAATTGTGACCTCTCGAGTGTCCACAAGCTAAAGACATGATTTTTCGAACAATCAAGGCCCATAAACTATGAAGTTATGGTCCGACACATGGTAATATAGAAAGGAACCGAGATCTTTGGGAGATAGATCTATAATTAAAGTTTCGTCAAAATAGCATAAAAATGTGACTTGTAGAGTGTCAACAAACAAATTGCGGACCGATGGACAGGGGCGATGGCATAATACGTCCATGTGAAATTGTGGGCGTATAAAAATCTGTGCACAGCTTCGTCTCAACTACTTCACAATATAAATAATGATTAATGATAACAATAACACATGACACAATTATATGGAATACAAGTTACTTGAAAGGTTTATTTCTGGAGACGTTTTGACGAGAGACAAGAGAACCCTTGGCGAAACATAGCCAGAAATAAATCTTTTGAGTAACTTGTATTCCATATAATCGTGTCATGTGTTATTCAATCCAGTTACTAAATGCCGCTCAAACAAATGAATGAAATAAAATGGAGTTTAATGCCCTACCGTTCGGCTCTGAACTGGGCTAATGAAGACAGGCATACACCATACAGTGTGCTACGAGGGAAATTTTGCCCAGACAGCAGCACTACGGTCTCTCTTATATCGAATTCCAACTGTCAAGGGATCTTTTAAGTGCACACCAATGTGTACACAAGACCTTGGTTTTTCTTCCCATCCGAACGACTAGACAGCTGTCCTTCTCAGGCCCTCCGTCCTGCATCACTGACAAGGGGGAACCACGTCGGAGTATCTGGATGAACTTTCTCGGCCAATGCAGTGATCAAACACCCAACCTCAAACAATTTATGCTGATAACAATGATGGGCATAAAGAACACATTTTTTCAGATTTTTAATATTAAAAGAACACAATGTGAAGCCATACTGTTCACTTTGAAGCCGTAGATATATTATTGTGAACAAAGGAATAGTGTTACATATTTCTGTAAATATTTTTGAAAAGTTTACTTGATTTAATATCAGTGTAACATCTGATCATCACTGATTGTTGTTGATTAAGTATTCAGTTTAATGTCTTGTTGTTTGTTCACCTATTTCTTGAATATAATACCCATATTCATTCTCTTCTTTCGGAGAGAGGTCATAATACAAGCCTTTATCCCTGTCAATTTTTGAATAAAATATTTATTAAAAAAACAATATATTACCTTCTTCCTGTAACTCCAAATGCCAACCCATGCCCTGTTTTAATAGTGACGTTGGACGGAAATTTAGTCTTTGCATGTTCACAAACAGATCTGAAAACGATATAAAATTGAATTAAGAAATCTAAACTAGACTACATGTATGTAAAAAGAGGCAAAAAACAACATTTTTAGACTACATGTATGTAAAAAGAGGCAAAAAACAACATTTTTAAAAACACAATTTCCATCACAGATATATTTTTATCAATATATTTTATAGTGAATCTTGTTGATATTAAAGAGGAAATTACAGATATATTTTGGTAAATAAAATTGGTTAATTCTATGTGGAAGACTCCCAGAATCCTTTATTCTAGTCTAGTCCTGAAACCCTATTATATTTTTCAAAAGCCAACATCGAGATGTCAAGGGGGAGTTGAAGAATTTGATTTGTGTACTTAAACAATCTGTCTTTTTTTAGTTACAGTGAAATCCTGTTTCACAACCAACTCAGTATTACGGCCAACTCACATATACGACCACATATTAAAAGAATCAATTTTTTTCTTCTTATAAATTGTGCTCAGTAATATGGGCAACTTACTATTACGGATTACGACCACTGAAGCCAGCCCCAGTCAATTTCATTGTTTTTGTCACTCGCGATAACAATCAAACAGTCAAGGTTGATTGATTTAATTGCAGCTGCTAATCTTTCTTTGTTGGTTTCATTTTTTTTTAAACAAAGAAATTAATAATGGTTAAGTAGAGCTGGGTGATATTTTGTTTAATGATGAATAAATACTGTTATAAACTCCCGAGTGTTCATTTCAAGCCATCACGTGACTTCTTGCTCAATTTTCCAAATGATCGGTACTGTTAGAATTATCCCCGCTTTTGTTCAATTTCTATTTTTCTTGATGAATAGATTATATCGATACTTTGATTTTTCAAAGGAATCATTGATTTTGTGATTGAAATAAATGTTAATAAAGCAGAAATGTAAATAATGCGAATTATATTGAGAGTACCGCCAGGTGATTATCGATGTGTCACGGCGGTCTGTGATCCGAAAAAACGCTCTTTGACTTTATTAATGGACGCCTTTTGAGACAGCACTGATGTTTTATAGTTTAAATAAGTATTCTTGAATTTAAAATTCATTTTCAAGAATGCATACGCCTAAATGAGGAAAATGAGTTTTCAAGGGTAAATGAATATCCTATCGGACCCGTACTGCCGTAGCTATAAAGACACACACACAGCCGATAGTATAACACAAACTTTTTTATGCTTTTTCCTTTTATATGCCTCCATCATATGTAAATAATCTTAACCCTTGTCCTGCGGTACACAGATTATTCTGGGTTGGCACGAGGCCTCCATATACGGCACCCAGAATATTACGGGATTACCGATTGTATTTATTTCCGGACGTTTTTATAGAGTTAACTCCCATGTTTGATAGGTGGCGTTTCACTAAACGAGGAAGCGCAGTCTGCTGCTATTCTTGTTGCTTTATTTACATTTTTTTGCTAATTTTCCGAAGATTTGGGGGCCGTATGTGATGATACATGTCCAAAAAAAACAAAAAAACGTGGCTTATGTCACGACTAACTGCCTAGGAAGTGTTGAACTGCCTAGGAAGTGTTGGACGTATTATTCAACGATGAAGATAGTGAACTCTGTGAAAATTTGATCACAGTTGTTGATGCTAAAAATCTGATTTGCAGATTCTGGCAGCTATATCAGTTTTAGTAGAAGCATCCAACACTGACGACACTGGGTCAAGTGAATACTCACACATCTAACTTTTTATGCATGTTAATTTACAGCTAAAAGGTGATAAACTGAAATTAATTTGAGTTGATATAATACTTTTTACTCACTTATTATAGACAACCAATAAAAATCTTAAGTTAGGTCGCAGTTGTGTATATCTAACTAATGTTGTAGTTTTACCTGTGCCTGCAAATAAGAGAACAACAATCTTGTAGAAGGGTGTATGCTTTTCCAGACACTGATACTGAAATATATACTTTGAGCACAGAATTATTCAACACCTAAATCTCAAGCCCAGTCCTTGTCTGTTAACAGTACTGATAGAAAAACATGCAAAAACAACGTTTTTTAAAGATCTGTAAATCAAATGTGAACGGTGATAGCAAAATGAATCATAAGTCGCACAAGTAGATTTTAAATTATATGCTAATTTGTGTTCGAGTGCAAAAATTTTACAAATTTGGTTTTGACCATTTTCAAATACTTTTATATGTTAAAATTCAGCCCGGCACACTTTACTAACAAAAGAACCTTGATAAAGGGTAGAAATGGAGCAATTAGTGAAGAGTAGTTTACTCAAAGTAGGTCAACTTACTCAAAGCCATAATTGACCAATTTTGCCAATGATGTAACCCATCTATCGCGATGTCTGATTGGTTGAACTTTAGCGATGTCGTCGTAACCAAGATGACGGTTGCCTTTCGAGTCATCGTCAACAGACAGTAAATTATAAAGTTATGAATTAAAAGTGTAGTTAATTTTAAAAAATGTGTAGTTTTAGTAAACAAACTTCCCTTGTTTAAATTACGCTTTTTTGCGAAAGTGCAAACCGTGGCGAAATGTATGAAATTACGTTTGTTATGTTGAAATCTGATTTGTTAAAAATTGTGCCAGGTTTGATGGCAGTTTGTCATTTTTAACCATCTGGTTACTAAGGACTTATGTCATGCATAGTAAAAGCAAAAATTTTGAACGTAATCTTTAAACAAAGTTTTCTGGTCTCACTGACTTTGAACTTGAATATTTTAACAATGGAGTAAGTCAGGTTATGACATTTTCTTTAAGATGACACATATAACTCATTTTTGAATGACTCATTTTGCTGTCACCGGTCACAAATATCAATATATGTTTTTTCATTGCTTTGAAGAAGTGAAACATGTTTGTAACTGAAGAAGACTATAAATGATTTATATAATATATTGACTTATGAAAGGTTACATGTAATGGTCAATTTCTATTATATCAATTTTGTCATTATTTGTATTCATAATTAGAAAAAAAGCAAAGCTGACATAACTAATGTCATTTTCTACTGAAATAATCTACTTCAGCATCCTATTTCTGGAGACCTTTGTACAGGTAATTTTAACCAGCGGCTGCCAGGCAAGATACGCCGACATTTTGCAAGAGATGGATAGAGAACAAGCTAAAAAAACAAAGCAATTTTTCGTACAATCAGGGGCCATAATCCAGAAAGCTATGGTCTGAAATGCACAAATATCAAAAGGGACTGAGATGTTTGGGATATAAAGATATATTTTAAGTTTCATAAAAATCCGATAAAAATTGTGACCTCTAGAGGGTCCAAAATCTTTGTATTACATACTTTTACACAATTTGCGTAAAAAGAGCAAACATTTTGTTGTGCGGTTTTATTTCAACCTTCATAAAGGTGGAATGGTGATAAATTTAAACGTTTTTTTAAAATCGGATAAAAAATTGTGACCTCTAGAGAATCCACAAGATAAAAACATGATTTTTCGTACAATCAGGGGCCATAATTCAGGAAGTTAAGATACGATATGCGCGAATATCGAAAGCAACCAATCTATTTGGGTTATAAACATGCACTTCAAGTTTCATCAAAATCGGATCAAACTTGTGAGCTCTAGAGGGTCCACAACCTTGATATACCAGATGTTTACACTATTTGCATGCAAGGGGCGGCCATTTTGTCTGGCAGTTTTGGTCCGATTTTCACGAAATTCGAATTCAACCAACATTACGGTGTAACGGTGATATATTTGAATGTTTTTTTAAATCAGATAATTATTGTGACGTCTAGAGGGATCACAAGCTAAAAACATGATTTTTTGTCCAATCAGGGGCCATAATTCGGGAAGTTAGAATCCGATATGCGCGAATATCGAAAGGAACCAAGGTCTTTGGGTTGTAAACGTGAATTTCAAGTTTCATCAAAATCGAGTTAAAATTGTGACCTCTAGAGGGTCCACAACCTTGATATACCATATTTTTACACTATTAGCATACCAGGGGCAGCCATTTTGTCCAGCAGTTTTGGTCCAATTTTCACGAAATTCAAACTCAACCATCATTAGGGTATAACAGTGATATAGTCAAACATTGTTTTAAATTGGATAAAAATTGTTACCTCTAGAAGGACCACAAGGTTAAAACACATATTTACATACAATCAAGGGCCATGATTAAGGAATTTATGATCCGATATGCGCGAATATTGAAAGCAACCACGGTCTTTGGGTTATAAACACGTATTTAAAGTTCCATCAAAATCAGATGGAAATTGTGACCTCTAGATTGTCCACAAGCTAAAAACGTGATTTCTCGTACAATCAGGGGCCATAATCCATGAAGTTATGGTCTGATATATGCCAATATTGAAAGCAACCAAGATCTTTTGGAGATAAACCTATAGTTCAAGTTTTCGTCAAAATCGCATAAGAATTGTGACCTGTAGAGTGTTCACATACAATTGTGGACGGACAGGGGCGACGACAATATACGTCCACATGAAAATGTAGGCGTATACAAATTCAATAAATGAGTTTCCTAGCATGCAAAGAAAGTGGCAGGGAGATTTCCTTACAAAAATATCTCAAATGAAAGCTGAACATATATCTAAAGGGAGAAAACTCCAAATGTATTTGGTTGACTAAACGGAAATAAAAATGTAGGTACGTAGTAATTATAGAAAATGACCTGCAAATGCAACAATTTTGATGATTTCTTTTTCCATTGGAGTATATTTAACAATTCTTAACTGTTCATGTGTTAATCTCACACTTGTATCACCAGTTCTACAATATAAATAAAATATCTATAAATAAAAGAGCCCAGTCATTGCAGAAAAGTATCTTTTTTAATTTCATTTGTTTAACCTTGAATCATTAACAAAATTGAGTTGTTCATTGTATATGTAATCAGGTCACCATTAATATTTTACAAAATGCTTTAATTTATTGTAATTCTAATTCAACATGTAACTTATAAAAAAGGAAACCCTCCTTTCATTTACATTGTGTGTATTCAAATCAAATTCAACACGCTAGAAAATGATAATGATGTTTATGTCACTAACAAATGCTTGTCCACCTACAAACGCTTGTCCACTCAGGTAGCATTATCAGAATAATCATAATAAATAATATGAGAGCAATGTAAATCTGGTGTATTTTATTGTAAATGACTTAAACCTACCCATATTTAATCAATGTTTGTTGACCTGTAGAACCTTTAATAGCATCTTGTAGCATACCATGATCGGATATTGAAGTATTCTCAAACAAATATACAGCATAAAACAGACGATAATGCATACTGAAATAACAATACATGTAATTAATTGTGGCTGAGTGAGTAGGGTGTTGGCTCGCTAACCTGTAGGTCTCGTGTTCGATCCCTGCGTTGGCCAAGAAAGTGCATCTGTACTTTCCGGCATGACTCCCCCTTGTCAGTGATGTAGGATAGAGGGCCTGGCAAGGGACAACATATAGTCATTTGGTTGGGATGAAACAACCGAGGTCCCTGTATACATTGGTGTTCACGTAAAAGAACACTGACAGTTGGAATTCGAAAATTTCCCTCATGGCATTCAGTAGCCCAGTAGGCAATCTGATTAAAACACAAATCCTATTTCGTTCAAAATTTGTTATATAACCCGCATTCTGGTTGATGGGAGAGATTAGCCGATGAAACGGTCTGTTGCTGCAAGTTCTTGTATGTATGCAGAAACATCAAAGCTGATTGGTTAATCAAATGCCTGATGTCATACAGTCAAAAGTCTCTTGTAAGACCCCTGACACGACCTCCCACTACAACCGGACAAATCTTCATGTAGTGGAGGCCATCGAAAGTATAAAAGATAGGTTGCCAGACAACAAAACATACGCCCACAGCAGCTAAATCGTCCGAGTGGTAAACAAGAATTAACACATACATGTATATATTCTTTTGTAGGTAATTGGGGGCATTTACAAGACAATTTCATACAGATCAGATTATAATTTTTGTTGTTTGAAGGTTCACAAGGTTCAACAAACTGAAAAAAGAGCCTTAACTCTGGAAGTAATTTACAGAAAATTTTGCAATTTGACAGGCTTTTTCGTTTTGCTAATTTAAATAATGCATATAAATTTCATTTTCATACAGATCGGATGATAACTTTTGTCATATGAACGTTCACAAGGTTCACAAAGTAAAACAAGGGCCATAACTCTAGAAATAATTGACGGAAATTGTTGAAATTAAATAGACCTCCATTTCACAAATTTAAATGATGCATATAAATTTCATACATATCGGATGATAACTTTCATCAATCGAGCATTAACATGGTTGAATAAAGTGAAACAAGGGCCATAACTCTAGAAGTAATTATTGTAAATTGCTGAAATTCAATAGGCTTTGTGGTTTCACTAATCTAATATGCATATAAATTTCATACAGATTGGATGATAACTTTTAGCGTTAGAGCGTTCACATCAAGGTCCAACAAAGTGAAACAAGGGTCATAACTCTAGATGTAATAAACGGAAATAATTGAAATTAAATAGGCTTCTTCATCTCACTAATGTCAACAACATATATTAATTTTAAAACAATCGGATATATACTCTTATATATCAAATTCCAACTGCCAAGGGATCTGTTACGTGCACGCCAATGTATACACAGGTCCTCTGTTTTTCATGCCATCAGAATGACTAAACAGCTGTCCTTGTCACAGTCCCTCTTGATAACACCTCTTACTGCAAACAAACACTATTCTGGTTGCCAACTATTTTAATAAACTGGTTTTAAAATGCTGTGTGCATTTAAGAGCTTACCCATTCCATACACTAGGTGGTTTTCTTTTCATCATAGCATTCATCAATGTAGCCATACAATAGAAACATTCTAATACATCTGTAACTGGACACTGAGATGTTGTTTTTAATAAACAGTTTAATATGTTTTGTACATCTAAAACACTTTCCGATATCACTACTAAACATGCTATTATACTCCATGGATTACACGTCTGAAATCATTAAAAGTTTGAAAATGAACCACTTAAATACAATATACGAGTCTGGATACACAAATTTGAATAAACTGGCGGGGAACCCCCAAAATAAAGGTGCACTCTAGCTAACCCCCTCCCACCCCCAACCCCTTCATACTTTACGATAAAAAATGTAGCTGACCTGCAATTCAATTTAAATGATACAATGACCAATTCCAATTCCAGTCAATTTTAAAATAATTTGCAAAACTATCTGACATGAATGGCAAAGAATAAATTGTAGCTGGATGCCGGACCAAAGTAACAATATCCACATTAAATGCTGTTGTAAACAATTACCTTGACTTTAATACAATCTGTTGCTTTTTCTTTAATAAGTTCACAAGCCCAGTTATATTTTGGATGAGTTTTCAAACAATCTGTCATATTACCACCGATGTAAGTTACAGGTTTAAAATCTTTTATGTACCTACAAGTATAAAGATAGGTCAATGTCCAGTAAACTACATGTAACAGAGAGGGTGATGTCAACGCTTTAATCACAAAATTACTAGCACATTCATCTTTCTATAAAGCATTACATAATCATATTACATGTCACTCTGCAAAAAATTTTCATTATCAAATTAAGTCAAGCTATTGCTGAAATGAACGTAAACATTAAGTTTCATCACTCTCACTTAAAACTAGAGTTATCGTGTTTCAAAGCTTCCAAAAAACATTTGATAATCTCTGCCTGTGAAAAAAAAAATGCTTATCATTGAAGTCAGTCAAGACATTCATCTAACGAACATCTACATGTGCACTAAGTTCAAAAGGCTGGAGATAACAAAAAATAAAAAAAACACTTTTGCAATTCAACAACTCTGTTGTTCTGGAAATAAGAGTTGTCATTTTATTTTGTGCTACAATGTTACACATCTTGTGCACTTCTCACACATCAACAAGTTTGGGTTACATACATGTAGTTGTCATGCCCGGTGAACATTATATTTGCTGATGACAAATAAATAGAAAGCAAAAAAAAATAAATACAAATGTGACGTCCTCCTTTTATATACTGTATTGTGCATGATTTTACTCACCTGATAAATGAAAGTAAAAATTGACTAGATGTTAACATGTTTCCTGATGTTAACATTTGTTTAATATTAAAGCCACCAGTTACACCCTTTAACTGTTTAAAATATTGCTTCTTCCACGCTAAAAACTGAAGGAAAAAACATACAACTTTGCAGGTTTAGCAGTTAATATATGAAATTTAACTAGCCAGTATTGAATTGAGAGATCTTTTTTGTGGAAATAATGTGCTACTGAGTCAAATTGGATCAGTCACCAGGAACTAAATTGAATACCATTATTTTATATTTTTAACATCTGATTTAGTTGACTAAGTATTTATTACATGTATATCAGAAATAGGAATTGTTTTATATTACCTTTTCATCACTTATAATATCATTCCATTGTTTACATACTCTGTTACAATTCAAACACAGATCTAAAATGGGCAACCGGCAGAAAATATTCATTGTGACTTCTATGGGTAATATTTCAAAATAGTTTGTCTCACAACACGTTCTTTCAATTTCAGGCTCTGCTAGGTCCAGCAATTCTTTTGATTCTACTAAGCCAAATGCCTTATTAATTACATCTTTTGATTCTACATTTTCAAAGTCATCATCATCAGAATCCATAAAATTTTGTACGGTAGGTGAAAAAACAACTGCTGATTTTGCTTGCAAGGTTCTTATAGGTTTTGGGTTTATTTTTCTCTTTTTACTATTTGCTTGTTCCTTAGTGGTGGAATACAGACTCTCCCGGCCATGAAATAGTTTCTTGGCAACATCTGTTGTTTGTTTGATTTCAGTAGCCTTCTTCCCTGGAGGACTTTCAATAAAAATTGAGGGTGATATTTGTTTAAGTGGAGAATATAATTTAGAAGGTGTGGTTGGTAATGGAGGAGGTTTATTCATTCCTTTGTATTCTGACATACTCAATTCATTTAAATCAGATTTCTCAGATTTTGTTTTTACAGTTGTTGAAGTAAAGAAATTTGTAATTGGTTTTTGGTTCTTTCCAATTTTATGCTTTCTGGGCCTCTTAATTTTACTTTGACTTATTGAAGAATTATTCCCTTGCGATAGGTTCACAAATGAATGATTGAATTGAATGTATGTTTCATTGAGTTCTAATCTACTTCCAGTGAAAGAATTATCCTTATACAGTGAGGCAGCTGTTTTAAACCCTGTTTCTTTTGAAAAACTTGATGTCTTCTCACCAAACTGACCAGCAGAAAATGTATCACAAGTATTGTGAATCTGTGTTTTCACATCAATCTGTTTCTTTCTCAGCCTTAATGTCTTTGGGTACAACCCCTTGTTTACATCTGTGTCTTGGCTCCTTTTATACAAATTAGTTTTTAATGGACAGGATAAATTTTGGGCACTGAACTCTTTTCTAGCATATTCAAAACATGTATTGACATCTGCTTTTATTCTTCGTTTCTTCTCACTTGATTGTCTGTGATCTGCCTGTAGGGTAAATGCTGAATTAGATGCAGTATATTGCTCAACTGTGTGGTGAGACTGGTTCACAATTTTGCCTGAAATCGAAAGTAAAGAACTAGCTGCTCTGAACTTTTGCTGACCCCGACCCTGTGTTTTTTCTTTCGGTATGCGATTTAGACAGTTGTCTTCGACAGAACTGAGTTTCTTAATTGTCCTTTTGTTAAGTTTTGTGTCTTCGTCATCTTCTCCGGGAAAAGAAGAATCTACAGATTTACAAGACTTGCTGGAACACTGTTTTACTGTTCTTCTCATGACATTTCTTCACATGGATCCATGTCCGTGGCTCGGTTTTGTTTACAAACTTTAGAGAAATTCAAATAACAGAATTGTTAGATACGAAACGAATATAATTATGACGGGAGTACACAATAATATTATATTATTTTACACTACAAAAAAAAACTTGCATAATTTAAATATCTTGTTTTATACGATAATTTATAACTTTGAAACTTTAGATAATAAAAAAAATTAGCCTACCATGTTATATTTCTAAGATATTCGTTTTATATACTAGAATTAATTTTTTAATATTCCACAGAAGGGAAGTAACTATATTGGGTTTCATATGGAATCAACCCACTAATTCTATGATTCCAAATGCTCGCAGGTACAAAATTTATGATATTTAAATATAACCATTGACATAACGTATCAGACGGAAGGGCGGACATCTTTATCTTTTGCCTTCTAGTATAGGCAATAAAATGCCTGAAATCCCATAGCCTTTTTGGTATGGAGACAGTAGGCATTGGATGAACAAATACTATAATGAATATATTTTTTGTAGAAAACCTTTGTCTTCTAGTCAACAAAATAAAGTGCTCGAAATCCCATGACATTTTGGTCTAGAGTCACGGTTTTCAGGCAACGATCATTATTTGTGTCGTAAATATTTCGGGAAGCAAAATTTTTACAAAATAATAAATAATGGATAAAAATTAAAATCAGTGTAATAAACACTGTCTAGTGGCACTCATGAGTAATGCGTTTTATGCGAGATTATTTGTTTCATCAGTTTTTCTGGAAGTGACATTTTATGTCCTGTGAATAATGCAGCGGCAACAGTCTGAATGATTGCTTGTCTTGAGATCAGATGGTCCTTTGTAGGGATTACGATTACAAAAACATATATAATGGTATACTGGGCCACTTTCAAGTTGCTGTATTCTCGGGCTGAAATAGCGGGAAAGCGCGTCTAATACCCCCCCCCCCCCCCAAAAAAAAAAACCACAAAAAAAACAACAACAAAACAACAAACACACAGACCTCCCAGAGAGTTCAGAACTCATTGGTGCCATCGCTGCTTCGAGGGATCTAAACATTAAATTTTCAACCGTTTCTCCAATTTTTTTAATTTCGGATGGATGCAGAGTGGGATTTCTGTCGCACATAAGGCTATGTGCTAAAACCAGCGGCTGCCAGGCAAGATACGCCCACATTTAGCAAGAGATGGATAGAAAACAAGCTAAAAACAAAAAGCAATTTTTTTGTACAATCAAGGGTCATAATTCAGGAATTTACGATCCAATATGCACGAATATCGAAAGGAACCATGATCTTTGGGTTAGAAACATGTATTTCAAGCTTCATCAAAATCGAATCAAAATTGTGGCCTCTAGAGGGTCCACATCCTTGATATACCATATATATACACTATTTGCGTACGACTACGAGTGGTGATCATTTTGTCTGGTAGTTTTGGTCCAATTTTCACGAACTCGGCTATCATTAGGGTGTAACGGCGATACTTTCAAACGGTTTTTTAAATCGGATAAAAATTGTTACCTCCAGGTGAACCACAAAATGAAATGGGGTTTAACGTCCTACTGTTTTGCTCCGAACTGGGCTAATGAAGACGGGGGTAACCACAAGCTAAAAACGCTATTTTTCGTACAATCAAGGGCCATAATTCAGGAAGTTACGATCCGATATGCGCGAATATCGAAAGGAACCAAGATCTTTGGGTTATAAACATATATTTCAAGGCAATCGGATCAAAATTGTGACCTCTATCCATATATTTACACTATTTACGTACGAGGGGCGGTCATTTTGTCCGGTAGTTGGTCTGATTTTCACGAAATTCTAACTCCGCTGTTATTAGGGTGTAACGATGATATTCGAACTGTTTTTTAAATCGGATAATATTTGTGACCTCTAGAAGAGGGACCACAAGCTAAAAACGTGATTTTTCGTACAATCAGGGGTCATAATTCAGGAAGTTATAATACGGTCAGATATGCGCAAATATCGAAAGGAACGAAGATATTTGGGTTATAAACATGCATTTCAAGTTTCATCAAAATCAGGTGATATTGTGACCTCTATAAAGTCTCAACAAGCTAAAACCGTGATTTCTCGTACAATCAGGGGCCAAGTTATGGTCCGATATATGCTAATATCGACAGGAATCGAGATCTTTATTGGGAGATAGACCTACATGTATATTTTAAGTTTCGTCAAAATCGAATAAAAATTGTGACCTGTAGACGCCCGGACGGACAGGGGCGACGACAATATTATACGTCCACTTGAACATGTGGGCGTATAAAAACACAACATAATTTATATGGAAAGCAATCACTGGTTTATGCACATATAATACGACGTTTCGACAAGTTCTCTCTTATCAAGTACCATGTTCCTGAAGCAACGACTGTCGACCCTATAGAGGTCACAATTTTTATCCGATTTCAACGAAACTTGAAATATAGGTTTATCTCCCTAAGATCTCGGTTTCTTTCGATTATGGCCCCTGATTGTACGAAAAATCGCGTTTTTAGCTTGTGGACCCTATAGAGGTCACAATTTTTATCCGATTTTGTTGAAACTTGAAATGCACGTTTATAACCCAATGATCTCGGTTACTTTCGATATTCGGCCTATATCGAACCGTAACTTCCTGAATTATGGCCCCTGATTGTACGAAAAATCGCGTTTTTAGCTTGTGGACCCCATAGAGGTCACAATTTTTATCCGATTTTGTTGAAACTTGAAATGTACGTTTATAACCCAAAGATCTTGGTTGCAATCAATATTATCGGATAGTAACTTCCTGAATTATGGCCCTTGAATGTACAAAAAATCATGTTTTTAGCTTGCCGTCCATGTAGAGGTCACAATTTTTATCCGATTTAAAAAAAACAACATGTGAATATATCACCATTACACACTAAGATCTTGGTCCCTTTTGATAATCGCGTATATCCGAAACTTCCTGGATTATGGCTCCTGATTGTTCGAAAAATCGCATTTGTAGCTTGCGGATTCTCTAGAGGTCACCATTCCACGATAATGAAGGTTGAATTCGAATTTCGAGAAAATCGAAATGAAACTGCCCGACAAAATGGCCGCTCTTTGTACGCAAATTGTGTAAAAGTATGCAATACGAAGGTTGTGGACCCTCTAGAGGTCACAATTTTTATCCAATTCTGATGAAACTTTTGATATTTGCTCATTTCAGACCATAACTTTTTGGATTATTGCCCCTGATTGTACAAAAAATCCCGTTTGTTTTTAGCTTTTTCTCTATCCATCTCCATCCATAAAACATTATATTATTCTATTCCCTGGGAGAATTTTTATAAATTGCCCTAATCCCTTTGTAAATTATTTGCAATAAAATATGTTTAAACTATCTCTTGTAAAATGTGGGCGTATCCTGCCTGGCAGCCGCAGGTTTAAATATGACCACATCATGACCATTTAAAAAAAAAAAAACCAGATGGTTGTTTATCAGATTCAAGGTAACTGTTGTAAATAACTTTCTTCCCATTCACCATCAGCCCAGGTGATGCGTCGTTCGTGGGGATTATCGAACAGTGACACTTGGGGAAGATTGTTTGAATGACATGTCCCATTCACACATCACTACAGCAAAATATATTCCATGCATATCACATGTACATACAATAATGGAGGCCATGTCAACAAACAAGGAACCCTATGGACCAAACCAATCATCTTTTGGAACTTGTCGTCATCCATCTATTTCTTGTGCTTCTAGTAGTGTTAACACCAATATTCGGGTACATCAAAGGCAGAGGAGTTGCAAAAGAAGATTCTCTGTCATACTAAGATACGACATGTAGTCATCTCCCCGGAATGATACAAGTACAGACTAAGTAGCTGTCATAGTGCAAGGTATGTGCCCCTCATAATCAAGAGAGAGAGAGAGAGAGGGGGGGGGGGAAGGGGCTATAACATTTATTCGACAGAAACTATGTCATTTCAGGACTAACATCATACATACATGTACACGTTACTGTACTTCGTTACCATGGTTAAGTGTAGGATCGAAACCATGCCACTTGACTCAATATAGAATAGAACAGAATAAAATTTTATTGCATCCAGAAGCCCTTTGAGGGCAGCCTAGCCTGGAAATAACTTTCAAATTTGTGTCTGACACCTTGTTGTAACATTATCCTGTGTCGCGGTACCAAATAAAAATGACTGTGTCACTTTGGGGACACATGTGACACTTTCTTCTATCCCTCTCTTCGACTTCACGTTGTGATAACTATTTCCAGTGACCAATTAAGTCTGAAACACTGTTTCTGTTATTACTATGTTTATTATATTAAATACAGCAAACTACAAAGGTTAAATACAGAAAACTACAATATCTATGATAGTACTTTTCGAGTTATTAAAATATCCATGCTCTGAGTTTAATATCCTTTCTAACTCAGACCTAACGGCTTAAACGTGGCAATAGCCACATACTTCTAGATAATAAGGCTCGCGCTAGGATGATATGTTCAACCTAGCCTCTAAGCCGAGGAAGCTATGGGTGTAATGTTCCCCTGAGCTCCGAATGATGTCTTCCCTACAGTCTCATCATGATATCTGAGGGTAAAGCAAACCAGCTATCTCCTATAAAGAAAGTATAATGCGTCATCTATTAGGGCGGGACAATTACCATTTTTTGGGTACGTGTTTCCTATAGACACCGTTTTACGTCAACACTATTCTAGTTAATTGTACTAATCCGTGCACGAGATCAACGCCGGATTAACCATGGTGGGGGCCCTGGGGCCTGGAACATGTGGGGGCCCCTGAACACCGATCGCGGAGTTGTGGGCGGCAAAGCCGACCACCGCGAGCGCCGAAGGCGCAAAGCCCCGCAAAGGGGTTCTTGGGGGTTCTCCCCCCAGGAAATTGGAGGCCGGAAACGTAATTTCCTGGCATTTTTGGCACTTGTGTCGGAGCCATTTAGAAGTACCTCCCCAAGAAAAAAATAAAATTCTGCCACAAAATTAGCGCATTCTGGCGTTATTTCAGTGGACCA